TGTAGTTAGGGGAGGGGGAGATGGTATGAAAATATCAGGTTACTTTGAGTAACATGTCACTCAAGTATGAAAAGGAAAAAAAATGTTTTTATGAGAAAACACTGTCACCTGTACAGCACAGAGAGAGTATCAGATTTATTATTGCCCAGAGGGAGATACCATACTCAGAAACAGGGGGTGAGTGTTGGATATATTGCTGCCCAGAGGGAGATACCGTACCCAGAAACAGGGGGTCATGTCGTGTCTCTAATGTCCCTGCAAGGATAGCCTTCCAACAGTGAAATGCATTGTGGATACTCACAAGTTTGCAGCGTGTACTACTGCAACTAAAAAGGGAGCTCAAGGTGTGTGGTGTGTATTTAATGGATTTAAGCTTTGTGCAACTAATTCATATTTTGACCTGCCTACCACTTTTCACACTTAGCATGATGGTGCACGAAAGACAGCAATGTCCGTGAGGTGACATTTTGATGTATTGAAACATTGTTGTGATGGATTAAACTGCAGCAAGATGTAATGACTCATTACTTATGATTTTATACTTTAATATTAGTGAAAAAACAAATTTAAGAACAGTTCATGTATTACTGCAGGCTGTATCCTATAATCCTTAATTGTTTTCTCCATGAGGGAGTTGGGTGGATGAATGGGAGGATTTTGAATGCAATTACATCTGACCAAATCTGTTTGTTTTGCTTGACAAGGGTCCCACATTTAACATTTACAATTTTGATGAATCATATTTAAACTTTTGTTAAACTACTCATCTAGAAAATTAGTTGATATACTAAACTTTTTGTCCCATATATATGTGCAATTGTTATTATAACACTTATTATTATGATTCATTGTACTAGTAGTAGTAGTAACATCAGTAGTAGAAGTAGGAGTGGTTATGCTACTAAGTAATTGAGCTTCTGATGGAAGTACTACTTATTTTTGCACCCATATTGCTGGCAGCAGGATTAAAATGTAGGTAATGAGTAAAGTATTATGTTGATTATTTTTTTAACCCATTCATATCCAACAACCAAAATGTGGTGTTAGATTGGTATGATGTTTGTATAATGATGAAAAATTTAATGTGATGACATTTTGCATAGTTTTAACTTGGATCAATGTCTAACAGTATCCATCTGAATTTGTTCATAAAATGTAATTTTCATGCGTTCATTCACAATCAAATATAGATTTTTGATAGTATTGTTAAAAACCAGTAGTCCTATGTAACCAATAGACTCAATTTAATACAATTAATTAAGTGATAAAACCAGATTTGTGCTCAAGCTCTGGGAACATGTGGATCAAAGGAAGTTTAAAATTTAATATATGGACATGAATGGGTTATTGGACAGACTGGTCCCAGCTATAAAAGTAAAGAGATCCATTAATTGAAGTTTAATTTCATTGTGTCAAGACTTCATCTCAAAGCAACATGAACAAACAAGCAGCAACCTTTTAGCCTCTTTTCTGATCAGTGTCATCTGTAGAACGTAACCATATCAGATAAGTATGAAGCATGTAAAAAGAATATGACCCTGCATATTCATAATAGATTCATAATAGAATGCCTTCTGGTGATCATGGCTGCAGCATGTCAATATGCAGTGGTGGGTATGTCAAATTACACTGCTATGTCGTCATAGTGTCTGTGTCAGCATTTTTAAACTTTTCTTGTGAAGAGTTTTTGTTTAACTGTTTTAAACTGTTCTTGTGGTCCACCTTTATCACACATTGAAAGTGGGGCCCATAGGTCTAAGACCACTTTGAAATCTAGGATTTTTTTCATTTATACCTGGAAATAAACGTGAAAAGTAGAACAAAAAACTTACGTAAAATGAAGAAGAAATCCTCAAGATTCTGTTATTTCTAGGTCACTGTTAGTGACAATCATATTAAAGAGGAAGTCCACTAATTTTTCAAAATTTCGACATAACTAAGATTGGGATGAGATTTCTCAGAATGGTGTTGATAGGAACCAAACATCCAAAGCATTTAGCGCATCTGAAAGGTACATAACAAGGTCACTACATGAAATGGTTGCGAATGTGCTGCAAGTCCCGAGACGCTGTGTTACTGTAGTTTTGCTGTAATGATTTGGCCAAAAACACACACACATTTTCTAAACCGCTCATCCTTCTGGGTCACAGGTTGGTGTTGGAGCCTATCCCAGCAGTCATAGAGCAGATTCTTAAAATTCATTTATGGCAGAGGGGTACATGCAGGGTGTTGTAAGGCAAAACAGTCCCCAAAGAAAACCTTATTTTTTGGATTTACCACTATTTTATCATTATCAACATATAAAAACTCAGAAGACTCATGTAGCTTCACTAATCATTCTGGATAGTAAATACAAGTGTTATATTTGCGTTGTAGACAATGTGACCCCTGGTTTCTAGTAGCACCACTGTAAAGAAATGTGTGCTGGTATGTTCCTCTTTAACAGGGCATTTCACATCAAACCACTGTGAATGACTGTTTACATCTCAACCACTGACTTAGGCAGACATTTTGAAAAATTGGTGGAGCTCTCCTTTAAGGCCTTTGTACTAAAAGGCCAGTCTTGTCCCTTGCTTTGAAGCACGTTCAAACGACTATTGGATGGATCTGATCTACTTATCATAGACTTTCGCACAAACTTTTGAAGTGCATGCAGTCATTAAAGGAAATGGAAATACTAAGAAATAAAGAAATTCTGAAATTCATGAACATATTTCAAAGATTCAACCTCTCACTCAAATTGTTATGCTGATAATGTAATTTGTAGTGAAAGATGAAACATTTTGTATAAAATTAGGGTGACACTATTTTGAGTGGTCCTTTTTAGATGAAACACTCAATGGACTCTTAATAACATCAAAAACATATGAGGGTTAGGGTTAGGCTTTGTGTTAAGGTTAGGGTTAGGATTAGGGCCAGGGTTAGGGTTTGGGTAATTGGAGTAACATATTAACAACACATCTACTTAATGTAAGTAATGTATCAACAGAACATCTACAAGATATTTACTTCAGTGTATTCAGATGCCTCACTAATGCTGCTTCACTGATATGTTGTTGATATGTTACTGATAATCCGTTAAGAGTTTATTAGTCATCTGCAAAGGACCACTCCAAATAAAGTGTTATTAAAATTAGAAAAGAATGCAAAATAGAAGCATTTCCACTGGTGGTCTCAGACTTTTGGACCTCACCGTATGTGTTTTCCTACTCCAACACACTTGATTCAGCTCCAGAAGGGCCCAATCATTAGCTAACGATGTGCCTCAGGTGCAGGGAAAATAAGAAATTACGGTGCAGATGGACCACAAGTCTGGAAACACTGACCTTATTATTATAGTCCCTAAGCTGATATTGCATACTTATTACTGTTGATATCATTATAAATGGGTTAAAGAACATTGTGCACAAACATGTATTTGCTCTGCTTATTAAAATACAGGAATGACACAAAGTAAAACTGAGTCTATTTTGCGATGTGTTTATTGATAACAGTATTACATGGTGGGATACGCAAAATCAAGAGAAAAATAAAACAAAAAAAAATCCTCTAAAAATCCACTGTAGAACGTCATCTTCATTGAGATAAAAATAATGTGTCCTTTTACATTAACAAACCGTTAGCTGAGGTAAAGTTAAAATAGGTCTAGAAACATACTCAAACTGTTATGATTCCCTCCTTTTCCGGCTTCACAATCGTCTTTTCATATCTCAAATTTAGTGTATGAGCTTTCTTTAAAGGGCCAAAATGGCTCTCAAATTAAAATGGGACTCTGGCCATAAAATAGGAAGTATTAAGTCATCGCAGGTAATGGAATGATGGCAGATGTCACTGAAACATAGGCATTGTAGCGAGACTCTAGTTTGATTTTAAATAACAGAATAACAGGCGGCCCATTTACAAATTGTTGTGGAGGTTTGTTTGGAGTGGATTTGCAATAAATTTGTGCATGGATCAGCGTTGATGGCTCAGGGGCAGAATAGTTCTGAATTAGGGAAACAAGGTTAACCGAAGTGCTCTAAGGTGCTGTCATGTATTTGAAAGTGTGTGTAAACATCTTGTTGTGTTTGTGTGAGTGAGCATGGGAGCGCATATGTAAATATATGGGGCATGCATATTTTGTGGCTGCTGCATTATGAATAGTGATGCACAGGTCACAATTAGCAGCTTCCACAGTACAAAACTGGAGAGACTGGGAATAAAACTGGACAGCGCTAAAATACCACATCATTAAATTTTTACTTAACGCAACTAGGTTTTATAATAAGTTTCACAAAAATGTAGGTTTTATTTGAAATATATTTGAAATATGCACTGACTTAGAAAAACCCAAGGGCACTTTACAAATGTATTTTAAGTGCACTGTGATTTTTCCATACTTTAGCTACCTTACCTTTGCAATGACTTAATGAATTTTAAGGTTTGGGATGCATAATCACTGGCACCCCATTTTCCGAAGGCATTGTAATGTATTTGTAATGTAATCTATTAGAAAGAGTGGTCCAACTGATACCCACTCAACCATCGTACAGCGAGCATTGTGCCACGGCGGTTTGGAGGCAGTTCCTCAGTCTCTAATGAATGACAGCCACATTGCTGAGAAAACAAAACATCAACAGATTTTGACTTGGACAGCAACATAAAAGAATTGGAGGGGGTGCAGGGGGATTTTGGACACATGTTGATATTGCTTGGGTTCCATTTCAAGCTTGCATCACTGAAGCCTGCCTATTTTATGGCACAGATGTCCGGCGGACAGAATGAACACTATTATCGTCGTTATCATTATTGTTATCATTATTATTATTTACAAAATGAGTTTGGCAAACCAATGATCTGATGCCTTAAAGCCATGTTTACCCCTAAAACACGTCTCAGGTCAAGGGCTCCACTGACTTATAAAATAAAAATCCCATTTTCAATGTCATGGTTTTGATTTTTTTTCTCATTAGTATTGTACAAAAGCTATAGAGAAGGAACAGTTCAGTCACAGATTCAGCTTTTTTTTTTTTGCAACGTCCATGCCTTTGCAAAGTCCTCTCCGTCTGAATGAGCTGCTCGGAAGTCTTTCCCACAAAAGAGAGATTTTGGCAAAGTCACTCCTTGAGTCTGGTCTCTTTCTGAAGGGTCCACAGAGAGAGACGAAGTCTCTTTTTTATTTCTGCATAGCTCTCTAGCAGCAGAATCTCAAATAGATGGGGGAAGAAAACCAAACAAACCCAAATGGATGAATCACATAATCCCGTAAATGGATCCGAATGGATTACTTTGTAATCGATTGCTCTGGCTTGGACTACACAAAGGGGATGACAGTGCGGAGCCTGGGATTCTGCTGGATCATGAAGCAGTGATTTCTTGAACTCTCACTTGGGTGGGTGGGTGTGTGTGCGTGCGTGTGTGTGTGTACGTACACTGGAATGAGGCACCTCTCCAAGATTCCACTCATACTACACAGTCTCACTGGAGAGACGGTATGAAAGGGAAAGTGAGTAAGAAGGTCAGACAGAAAGAGAGAGCAGAAGAGAGATGCACAAAGGCGAGAAAAAAGAGAAAGGCTGCAGAACAGGGCTAGTAAGGCTGTGAGGGGTGAAGAGTTGAATCATCATCGTCATCATTATCATTACATCAACTGTGTCTTATTATCCCACTGCCAGTCCATGAGTGCAGGAAACACAGTGTGGCTGAGACAGAGAAGAGTCAGTTCCTCCTGAGGAGGAGAGAAATGGAAGGAGAGAAGGAGATAAAAGCGTCTGGTCGGTGGTTCCTCCAGAGAGAGAGAGAGTGCAGTCCAGAAGGGGGCGGGGATACTGAAGGCTGGGTTAAGCCTCTCCAGGTTTGGCCGCAGCTGGAGAAGATGGCTGCTTGGAGAGAAGGACCATGGAGGCTGGGGTGACCTTCACAGCTGAGCTCCAAAGACCATCCACACACACATGCACACAAAGCTCACACACGTACACACTCCATCATCAACTTTCAATCTTCTTACATTCTGTTTTTTTCCCCTCTCTCTCACTTTCTTTCTCATGCTCACACACACACACACACACACACACACGCACACCAGGGCGCTCAACCCTTGTGTTTGGTCTTCTGATCCCCCCAGCACTGTTCAGTTGTGTGCAGAATTCCCATAATCCTTCACTTCTTCCCTTTGTTGATCTGGGCATAGAGAGGGTCCTTCCCCTGGACAAAGACATAAAACTGGATCACTTTAACTTTCAGCAACTTTAACAAAAAGACACATTTAAGAGATTCTTAATTTGAGTGCAGTGTTGACATCCTATAGTCTATTAATAGTCTATTAATGTGAACAAGGGATCATCCAGTTTCTAGAATGTCCTGATTATACACAAAATTGCCAGCTTAATAGGTGCACCTGCCTTGTACCTACACTCACTGGCCATTTTATCACACATATTTGGCTGATCAGCTACCTCTGGGTAAGTGGAAAATTGTATACATTTGATTGGTCGCTTAACCATTCCTGTAAATTGACATATTTAAATGTGTCAAATGGGGTTGCATATTAAATGATACATCAACATAAATATTACCAAAAGTGGTAAACTAAACTACAGCAGTTTTTTTTAGAAATTTTATCCCTGTGCAACCATTTGACACATTTGAATCATGAGCCATTTTCAGTGTAGGAGTACTTTGCATATATACAGTTTATGACTATAGTCCATCTGTTATGCATTTTTCATCCTTTACTCCATCTGTTAGTTGGATATTTTTGGTTGCCAAACCCAAGCAACACTGTGCTGAGGAAGGCCCGCCACCCAAATAATACCTGGTCAGTGGTGGTCCTGGCATGGTTCCTTTCCATTGATAAATGCAGTATAGGGTGACCGACAAATTGTGCAGCAAAAGATGGGCTACATATAGTCATTGTAAACCCATAAAGTGCTCCTATATGGAAGGTGTATCTGATAAAATGGGCAGTAAGTGTTGGAATAAGATAACAGCAGCAACTGGCATACTAGTGTTAAATATTATCCAGGCACATGCAGTTCATCCAGACTGACAGCAGATGTCAGTAAAGCTCTTTCAGCGGACTGTCAGTAATACACTGGAGATGATGAGGTATCTCCACCTGCCTCAGCCGGGAGCAAAGCCATGGCTCAGGGAAAAAATAACCTGCTACAAGTGTAACCGCTCCAGGCGGTAAAGCTGCTCTAGATCTCATTGGGATAGGCTATTGCCCTTCTTCATAGTTCACACCATTCCAGTCATTATAGAATCGAGAGCAGGACAGAAGCAGAAGGCCCAGGAGGAAGCTGTGTGAAAAAATCTCAGCGGACGGGTATAAAGAAAGAGAGAAAGCTCAGAAACAGCAGTAGAACTGGCAGGCAGTTGAAGCTTTGAGTCTTGCCTATAGCCTGGACAAGCCCATGGCCACAAATCAGTTTGACACGACAGAATCTTCCAGCACGCTATAATTATGACTCACGTATACACTAGTACTTTCACCAAGAGAGAAATGGAAGAGTGAGAAGACAGGAAAGGATGGTGCTCAGTCTAAGCCTGACAGATCCAGGCAAGTACTGACAACTCAGAGAGTAATAGAGGGAAGGAACTGATAAAAAGAAAAAAGACAGGGACAAGAGGAGAAAAGAAAGGGGAGGAGAACCGGCAATTCCTGTCGGAGACAGAAAAAGTATGAACGGAGCGTACAGGCCTTCACGCTGAACAGAGAAACCGCCGCTATAGGGAGTGCCAGCCTTGAACAGAGACATGAATGAGACAGCTTGAAACGCCGTACCAGCTTCAACCTCAGACATTCCACTTTATCCTCCACAACTGCTGATGACATGTTGGCTCTAAGCCAATACATCCGCCTCAGTCGTCTGGCAGTGTTCCGCCATACTGCCTCATGCACAACACACAGAGACTAGGAGGAACACAGTCATCATCTGTACTGCTACAGATGTCCTGCAGGGACAGTGTCCTCCAAAAGAGACAGTCTGGTAGAAACATAAAATACTCTGCTTTGTTGCTTCAGACATGCATCTGTCTAAGGTTTGGAGACACTTAGCTTTTCATGCTGTTTTAATGAAATGATCGTGTTTTCTTTGTTGGTTTGCAATAACATTAAATAGGAAGCTGTATAGATCTTTGCAACAGCAAAACTGAAGAAACAGCTGACACCAGCGCTAGCCTATAAAATAATTGCATACTCTGTCTTGATACCAGGCACCTTGATTTTTGAGAACACAGTGGTATCTGATTGGGCGCGATGGCCCCTATTGCTTGTCTGTTAATAGAAAGCCCCATCTCGTAAGCAACATTAGCTTTAACTATGACATATTTTGCTTTAAAAGAATATTAAAGAGAATAAATTTGATGATGTTCTCTCAGAAGTATGCCAGGTTCATTTGACTTTATGAAAGAGATTCAATGCTTTGAACATACAACCTCGTTTCCATTGTGATGCTGTGCAAAGTGTAAATAAAAACAATGCAATGATGGGCAAATAATTTAAATGTTATATTTAATTGAAAATAGTACAAAGACCACATATCAAACGTTTGAAGAGATTTTGTTGTATTTTTGAAAAATATATGCCCATTTTTGAATTTGTTGCCAGCAACACTTTTATAAAAGTTGGGACGGGGGCATGTTTACCACTGGGTTGCATCACCTCTTTTTTTTTTTTTTAACTACACTACAAGTTTTTGGGAACTGATGAGATCAATTGTAGTTTTTAAAGTGAAGTGTTTTCCCATTCTTGCTTGATATAGGGTAGCTGATCCAAAAGTTTGGGGTCTCCCCTGAAAACGACATTGTCTGTATGGCAGCATATGTTGCTCCAAAACCTGCATATATCGTTCAGCAGTAATGGTGCCTTCACAGATGTGGAAGTCACCCATGCTATGTGCATTAATGCCCCCTCATACCATCAGGGATGCTGGCTTTTTAACTGTGCGCTGATAACAAGCTGGATGGTCCCTCTCCTCTTTAGACCGGAGGACACAGTGTCTATGATTTCCAAAAGGAATTTCAAATGTTCAGGTTTTTGGAAGTGTTCCTGAACCCATGCACTGATTTCCACTACAGAATCATGTCTGTTTTTAATGCAGTGCCGTCTGTGGGTGCGAAGATCACAGCCAGCCACTACTGGTTTTCGGCCTTGTCCCTTACATGCCGAGATTTCTCTGGATCCTTTTCCCTTACATGCAGAGATTTCTTTTGATATTATGTCCCATAGATAAGTAAATTTTTGCTATTTTACGTTGCAAAACGTTACTTTTGAAATGTTGCACTATTTGCCCATGCAGTCTTTCACAGAGTGGTGAATCCCTCATCTTATGAAAAGAAAGGCATGCTTTTCTTATACTCAACCATGTTACCGACCAGTTGCCAGTTAACCTAATTAGCTGTGAGATGTTCCACCAGGTGTTTTTTTTATTTTTTTGCATCACATCACAACTTTACCAGGTCTTTTCTTGCCCCATCCCAATGTTTTGGAACATGTTGCTGGCATCAAATTCAAAATGGGCATATAAACAATAAAATTTCTCAGTTTCAACATTTAACATGTTGCCTTTGTAGTATTTTAAATTAAATGTAGGGTTTAATTGATTTGCACATCATTGCATTCTGTTTTTACGACATTTAGCACATCATCCCAACTTTCTTTGTAAACAGTGTTGTACTTGCATGTTTACTTTTTTTTTCCATGACTGTTTTTTTTAACATGCCCTGTGATTTGCTAGCAGAATTGATTCTACAGCAGTGGCTATATGCATTTTATGATTGTCTGGATTTCAAGACTGTGACATACTCCACACATTTTCTTGTTGTGATGTCAGCACTTATCACTCAAACCTTTCAGGTTCCACCTCCTATGGGATGCATTTAGTAATTGGTTGAAAAAGAAAACCGTCAAATCATTGTTTAGGCAAAACTGCTCTTCGTTCCAAGGAAGACACTTGTACATTAAAAATAGCTATTTTATGTTAAAACAATTACTTTAAACCATTTGAACCTTAGGCCTATATTACAGTGATTAACATTACAATTTTTTCTTTAGAAACTTACATGAATTATTTATTATGACGCTAATATGTAAGCTTTATAGTTGGAAGAGTGAGGAACTGAAGACTGGGCCAACATTTATAAAATCTCCCTGTCCACACTGGCCAAAAAGCCTGTCGCTAAGCCCAGCAAGACCAAAGAGGAGACAGCTCCATTGAGCCTTTAGCCCCAATGGGGGCAGTCCCCTTTTCTGCCCCATAGCATTTTTAAGACATTTTATATGCATAAACCCTGCTCTTCCCTGAGGGGCTGTCTCTGTGCATGTCTCATTGGTCGTCCAACTTTATTAAGCCTCAGACTGCCCTAATGAGGCCAGCAGATCAGTCTGCATGCAGACACTGCCGCACAGCACTGCTTCTGATTCACTTTATTAAAGTTTTATACAGCAAAGCCAGGGAGTGGCCTTCTCTCAGGCAGACAAGGAGCCCATTTGAGCTTCCAGCTGTACACTGCAGTAGTTAACGGAGGCACACTTCAGTAAAGAATGTAAAATTGCACAGTACCCGTACCTAGGACTGAGTTACGGAACAGCATAATGCTGCCACAATACTGTACACCAGGGCCCCCGAGTGGCACAACCATCTACACGTGTTGGCCCTATCATCAGGAGATCGCGAGTTCGATCCCTGGTGATGCTACAGCCATCTGTGGTCAGGAGTCCAAGAGAGCACAGTTGGACTTGCTCTCTCTGGGTGGGTAGGATGGCTCCCCTTCTCCCTCCAGCGCGGTGCTAGTCAGTTAAGGCGTCTGTTAGCTGACGCAGCAGAACTGGCGGTTGGCGCTTTCCTCCAAGCACGTTCGGCTGGCCAATGACGTTGCATTAGCAGCAGTTCAAAAAAGCGGCGGCTGGCTTCACAGGTCTTGGAGGAAGCCTGTGTTAGCCTTCGCCCTCCTAGTGTTGGTGGTATCGTGTGACTGGGGGAGTCCTGACTAGTGGGTGGAACTGGATACAACTAAATTGGGGAGAAAATTGGGGAAAATATACAAAAAAAAGGAAAAAAAATACTGTACAGCGGGTGTTCGAATTGAGTCGGTAATGTAGTGTCGTTTGGCACTTGAATAAACCTTTAAGTCTGGCTGTTACTACACAGTCATGCCAAACTAAAGTTAAATTCACTGTAATAATCTATAAAATCTGAACATGACTTTCTCCCCATGGTGTTACACACAGAACTTAACTTGAATCTCTAAACACAGTGACAAACTTTATATTGAGTCTTTATATTGAGTTCCTGTGCAGTGACAGGTGCGATGCACATTTTCACAACTTCATTTGAAATACTCAAAGGCACAGCACAAGACAGATGCTTAGATGCGGAGTGTTTGTGATGTTCATGGATATGCCATGCCACAATGCTGTTCCAAAACAATGCCACTCAACAGCTCTGATACTCACACACCTCAGATAACTTTAGGGGAATAAAGGTAACAATCAATCGCGCACAGGCACCCACACGCATACACACTCACACACAAGAGACAAAGCAAAATCTTCACAAGAAATTTAAATGAAGTTTCCACAAGGCACATACCATCATATGTAGCAGCAGACAAGGGTGGAGAAATGAGAGAGAGAAGGAAAGAAAGAAAGAGAGAGAAAGTAGAGAAGAAGAAAGAAAGGCAGGGGCGAGACAAGGAGAGGGAAAAGAAGGGTGAAGAGAGGGGGGAAAAAAGGCAGGGAGAAGGAAGAAGGATAGAGAAGGAGAAACAAAGACAAGGGAGCCGGGGAGAGAGAAAATATAAAGACGGAAAGAAAGAGAGAAAGGGGTACAAGGAGAAACAGAGAAGGAGAGAGATAGAGGGAGAAAAGTAGAGACCGGAACAGAAAAGGAAAGCAAAGAGAGAGAGAGAGAGAGAGAGAAAGCAAAAGGATAACAAAATAGAATAAAACAGAGAGAGAGAGCACCAGAACACACGACCAGGATGTTGCAGGTGTGTATGCGATGGTGGACGGAGGTGGACAGGTGAAGGCGTGCTGATGGACATCACGGTTGAAGCAGGCCACCGACACGCAGAAGAGGAGGAGGAGGAGGGAAAAGAGGACAGATACCTACCCCTGACCTGCTGCTATCTAGCTACCGACCTGAGGACTGTCCGGCTCAGAGCCACCACACTCTGCCTGAGGCTCACTCACACACGGAGACTGAGCGTCTCCAGCCTGCAGAGAGAAAAAAGAGAGAGCAGAGAAAGAGAGAGATGATAGGGGGTGATAGAGATAATAGAGAAATGATTGAAAATAACGTGACAGAAAGCAAAATGGACAGAAAGAGAGAAGAGAGAAAAGGAAAGAGTGAAAGGGATGATAAAAACACATGGCAAAAAAAAAAAGACAGAGGACAGAAGGTATGACAGACAGGGTGTTTGGCAGCATGCCAAAGAAGAACAGAGAAGAGAGATTGAATAATGGAGAAATGCAGAAACAGGTGGTGTGAGAGATTGGAATGCAACAGAATGATGGAGAAGAAAAGGAACGGAGAACGGAGGTGGTGAAAGAGTGAGACAGAAAGGGAGAGAAATTAAGCAAAGGAGAAAAAACAGCACAGGAAAAAGCTGCAAGCAGAGGGCATCATAGCAGTTAGAAATCAACAAGCAGTCTGTCATCCAATCATTCATCTTTCCTTCCATCCATCCATCCATCCATCCACCCACCCACGCTGCCATCTATTCATCCAAACTCCCTTCCACCCCTCTGTCTGTCAGTGTTCATGCAAAATCCCTTTCTTTTTTTCATTCAGCACATTATTATGTTGTACTATAAAAGGTTCTGGACTGCATTATGTAAGCACTTTTGAGCTTGCTGAATTGATGCCCTCCTGGTGTTTTGCTCTTAACACCTCGACTGAGTGCGCGTGGGTGTATTTTTTGTATGGTGTGTGTGTGTGTGTGTGTGTGTGTGGCGTCTAATGACATTTCAGTGAGTGAGGGGTGGGCACACTCTTTTACTTACAGAATAATTTGAACAGAGTAATTGAACTTTTTTGTTCGTATGAAAGATGAAAGAAGGGATAAAGAGAAAGCAAGTGGGGGTTCTCTTATGACTCACAGACACAGACAGCAAGAGAGGCACAGAGTGTGTTTTAAAACCATCAGCACAGTTTGGAACTAACATTAAAAGACTTATTCCTGAATTAAAGGTCAGAGGTGATTGCTGTGAGGCTCCACCCTTTCTCTTTCTCATTCTGCATGAAAATATACGTACTAATCTTATAGGACAGAATATAGCCATTTTTTATTTCCTAATTCATCAGGCCTCATAACGCACACTCATATAGGGAGATTACTCATAAAGAAGAGTGATACGTGATATATGAAAGGTATCAAAGTGCGATTAATAATGTCTTAATGGTCTTTCTGACACCTCCAAGGGCTAATTTAACATATTATTGGCCCCAAATGTTGGTCATCCATGGAAGGGAATGCATAAAAGGAATGAGCCAATCAGGAGAGAGTGATTGCCTTGCCATGTTTGGCTCAGTTCCATGGCGATTCATCAACGTATCTCAATAAAGCAGAGGACACATTTATTGCAAGGGTTATTTTTTTTTTTCCTCATAACCTCTATGAGGAACTGGATAAAGGAGTTATCGAAAAGCTTGGAAGCTATTGAGCTTTGCATGGTCAAGGGCAACGTGTTATACATTAACAATAAATGTGCTTGTTGGGTTATACTGAAGATTGACCTTCAGTACTATAAAAAGTGTGACTGATAACAGCTGGACCTCAATGAGTGACGTGCAAGTATTTATCTTTATGGTTATGTAGATCTCTGTACATGAAATGGTTCTTTTTTTCAACCCCTTAAATTTCCAAGCTCATATCATCCCAAAACTCATTAAATAGTGGGTCCTGGCCATTACAGGGGTTAAATAACTCTCCATGGTTTGGGAAACCGGTTGCTTTGCTGTATGCATATTATTCTTTAGTCCTTAGATATCAGCTATTGCTGATGATGACAAAAGTATGGTGTACTTTTATATAAGGGAAAAATGTTGTGTAGACTTGAACCTGTTGATACAGAATTTAAATTGAATGTAAATTGAATTCTTTGTTACAAACTATGCAAATAATCGTGTACTTATGTTATGCAGTTAACATCATCACGAACAGTGACTATGCATGCGTGACCTCAACTAAGAGCTACTCACAGCGTCCTCCTCTCCGCTCCGGCTGGGACTGCCCTCCGCCTCCCCGAACGAGTCGTCGGTTGGGGGGTCACTGGCCTGGGACGAGGACTTTGAGGGGGAGCTCTGCCGAGGAGCCGGGGTGGGCGCTGCAGAAAACACACAGGATAAAAATACAGTCAATTAAACCAAACATACAACAGCATTTACTAACTGTACACTTGCAACATGCATACAGAGGGGATAGTTCAAAGACTCCCATTGCTGTGGTAATGGTGGGTCAGAGCCTGGCTGATGGATGGTAATGGTTTAAGTGGATGCAGATCACAACTCTTTAATTACATTAGCAGATTTACACTGTCTGAGCTGTTGTTCATCCACTCTAAAAAGCTGCAAACACATTTGCAGCTAATGTGAGACGAGTGGCGTTGGAGTCCTGTTTTTCAGAAAAAGCACTGAAATTTTAAGCACTTACAACTGGAAAAGATGTGGCTCATTTGCAGTCAGTTAATTAATCCATCGTTTGGAACATTTTTGGAGCCAGGCAACCAGCCACTGCTGAAGAAATGCACTCACATTAGGACTAAGAGTTAAAGATAGAGTTTGGCCAAAAAAAAAAAAGGTAAACCTTTACTCCTGCCCAAATGTGCTTGATGTTTCATGTCTGTTTGGTGTCTGTTTGCTTCTTTAGTTTTGTACATGACCTACTAGGCTAATATAGCTAATAGCATTGTACAAACTGCATACCTAAACCATGCCTAGACATGCTGGTTTCTGGTTTGACACTGAGATATTGTATTGTCTTCAAAGTAGACAAACTTGTGTCATATGGCTAAAAACAGTAGTAGCAGTCATCTTCTATCCTGAATTCATCCTTATTTTTTGTTTTATTTTTACCCAACTTTCTCCCCAGTTTAGTCATGGCCAGACTTTTCTACACTAATAATGCTACCAAGCTGGAAGGTTGAATAAATTCAGTGGACAGATAGTTTTGCTCACAGTGCAGTCTAAGATAGACAGTCATCAGTTCAGCTATGAAACCTAATCTTCTCAGTGCTTGTTGAATAAACATGTCACCAGCAGTGCACCTTTACCAAACAGTTATACCAATGTTGAGGTTGAAAATGCTTGGATTATGTCCAGATGTCCAGGAATGGAATTTTTTCCTGTACAGGCAACTAAAAACCTGGACAATAGCAGGTGGTAATCCTTAATGGAACATTAATGAGCGGCTCAACACGCTTGTAGGAGAATGCTAACTGCCAGTTCTGTTATGTCAGCTAACAGATGCCGGCATTTTCTAGCATCACGCTGAGAAAGAAGGTAATTTTGCTCTGTTGGACTCCTAGCCAACTGATTAAAAAGGTAGAGTCAGGTGTGATTCTGCTTGTTTGGAATGAAAACCTGCAGCCACATTAGCCCTTCATGGATAACACTGGACACCACTGACTTGTTGTGCTACTTGAGACTATTATGACATGTACTTTGAATGATGCTAAACAGCTATAAGCTTTGAATACTTGTTGGCTACATTAGCATCATAGCTCCAGTGCACAGCCAAAGAAGCAAACTTTGGCTGTCAGCAGCTGATGGACTCTATTTTGAGCAAAGGGAAAATTGTGTAAACTTGATTTTTGGCCAAACAACTGCTTTAACCAATATTTATTTGGAAGTAAAGATTAGGTCAAAGAAACATTGTTTTTCATCCAAACATAACAGAGCACTACAGCAGAGCTGTTTAACCTCCCAAAGCACACATTCTCTCTCATCCCTGAGGCTCTCGGTGCAATGATGGGTCCGCAATGTATTAGCCTGCCCACTCCATGCACCCCAAAAGGCCCGGTGGTTCATGCTCCCTCATTGTCACTTCATAAATGAGTCTGACCTCACACGGTGTGTGAATGCGTATGTGTGTGTGTGTCTGCAGTGCTGGTGCAACAGTGTAGCACTCCTCCACAACAGTAATTAGCACAACAGGACTGTGAGGATCCAAACAGGCTGAACACACAATGCATAGCTCTCCAGAGACTGGTGATAATTACCCTACTCTGCTGCAGCGTGCAGCTGGGAATGGCTCATGCGCTCGCTTTCCTCACTCTCTCTGCCTGTCTCTCGCCCCTCTTCACCGCATTATTAATTGTCATTTTCATGCTGACTAAAGACAATGCCCCATGAGCAACAGCAGCATCAAAGGCCACCTCTCAACCTTTCACTGGGAGGGGGGAAAAGACTGAGTGTGCAGCTCAGGGAAAATCAAAGTGCAAGTGGAAGTTACAAGCTAATTCTGGATGTCAGAAAGGGATAAGATTTGTCAGCTGGAGAAAAGGATGGGGAGGGTGGCTAATCTGGGGGTATTATGCATTATAGAGTATGTGGGAAAGTTTGTCAATAACCACTGTCACATCAAAATGTCCTGAAGAGGAATTCCAATTTTTAAAATTTCTGCATAATTTTATGGTTAAGATGTTAAGAAGTCATTCAGAGTGGTTTGATTTGAAATGCTCTGTTGTAGAGAACTGCTAACAGTGGTGATGATAGGAACCAGACATTTACCACTAAAAGCCTCCTTACAGAAAGTTATTACATGAAATGGTTATGAATACACTGCCTGACACCTGAGACAATGTTTTAAGATGGTTCTTGAGCTAAAACCTTTTAAATCATTTCACTTTGGAAGCAAAATGGCTATATTTGTGTTGTAGATACTGAGAATCCTGATTCCCATCACCACCACTGTAAAGAAATCCAAGCCAGCATGTTTCTCTACCATGAACCGTTTCATATCAAACCACTCTGAATGACTGGTCACATCAGAACCACTGAATTATACAGAATTGTTGAATTCTGTAAAATAATAGAAACTTTTAACTAAAACACCAGCTGCCCTGTACACTGTAAACAAGATAACGAAGGGTTTTTTGTGTAAATATAAAATACTGAATAAAATACTGTTTATCTACATTTAAACTTTGCATTGGTTCATTAAAACTATTTATTTGAGTTGAATAGAAATAGTTAAATTGCTTGTTACTTGATTATTACCAATATACTGCAATATAAAGTATTTGGAATAAAATCTTCTTACATTAACATAAGGATACATTACATTAAAGAACATTTATTCTTTTTGCTATGAAGTAACCATTTTTTACATGTATTGTTATGATGAACTATAGAATACCTCCTGTTTTGATGTAGATACACTACAGTGTATTTGTTCTACATGTCAGAAGCCGAAATGGCGAAATGACCTATGAAGTGCCCAAAAGTAAAGATATATTTAAAATTTGGAAGGAAAAAAAAACTGCCACATGTCCAGTGCTCTGTGTTAACCTGTACACTCTGTATATCTCATGATTCACACCACCCTCACTGCCACTTCAAAAATGATAACCTTTACATAGTGTGTGTAATGTGTTCAAATGTTTGTCAAGCAGTGTAGAACCCTCTACAGCCCTGTATCTCCCTAAAAAATCTGATCATACAGTACACATAACAGAAAATGCTTTAATTCAACATTTGTGTAAATAAATGAGCAGATATTTTATTATTTGAATTTCATGAAAAATTAAAATTGTATATACTTTCTTGCTTTCTGAAAAGAAACTTTCTAGAAATAAACAAAGAACTGTAAAAATGTCAACACCTTTTCTTTATAGAGTGTAGAACGTGAATATTATGCATTATGTAACTATGAATTATGGGATTTCATATAAAAAATTATGCAATGCACATCAGTTGTGTAGGTTAACAAACACCAAATATTAAAGCTAACACACATTTATGCATCTTTACTTCAAGGCCATTCACAAAGACAAAGGCCATTATGACTAGACCCATCACCCTATACGCTTTCAGCACTGCCATTCATCCAAAGAGGCTTAGAGTGAGGCCATGGACTTTTTCATGTGTAGAGGAAGGTGACCCAGTTTTCCTCAGTGAAAAAAGGTCTTATTGGCTTTGCTTTATGGCAAATCTCATCATGATTTGATATAGATAATAATCGATAATTATTTGCATTTTCTATTGCTTAGAGAAAATAAAGCCAGAGTATTCTGAACCCTGAAGAAAACAAAAGCTTTTTGATTTATTTACACCTGATTTAATGTCCTGATCACACATCCTTTTCTTGATAAAATCTACTCTAGTCCTGAGACATTTCCTCACACTCACAGCCTTTTTTACTCTCTAAGGTCAACAATGAAAACAGCTATGACTCTCTTAAATGTCATGCAAATGAAGAGCTAGTCATCTTCTCCTTCCTTGTCAACTAAGCAAAAGGTACATGTAGCATTTCTTCAGGGCTTTAGAAAAAAAAAACCCTAAACCACCTCATAGTTATTGAAAAATTCTAGATTGTGATAATTATTTGATAATACAAGTGACTCACGTGAGTTGGTGGAGGGCGTGGTGGAGGTGACGGGTGTCAGGTTCATCTGGGAGATGTCGAAGTCGTCGCAGTCGTCATTGTCTTGCGCCATGCCCACACGGCTAAAGTAGCTGGTGAAGGCGTCTGTGGTGCAGACCAGGCTGGGCTGCTCGCTCTTGCGCGTCGGCACGGCCGGCGGCTTGGCCATCTGGAAGTCTTTGAACATCTCCTTGCTCATCTTGGCCTGCCGGGGCAGCGAGCGCTCGCCATGTTGCGGGCTGGAAGCGGTAGAAGCCGACGTCCCTGGTACCGGCCCCACCCCTGCCCCAGCCACGGCCACTACGGGCGCCTCACAAGAGGCCGCCGCAGCCGCTGCCACCTGCATGGGCGCCAGTGTCTGGAACATGGCGGCCGGCAGTGGCCCAACCGTCTGGGCTGGCATGAAGGCAGCGGGCGAGAAGTGGGCCCCAGCCATGGCTGCCCACTGCTGCTGCGTAGCTGGGAACAAGTTGGCCTGACCCCAGATCAGAGGCTGACCTCCTGGCAGGACCTGAGCCATGGGCACCGGTGACTGCACCCCGAACGCTAGTGGCGTCTGAGCCGCAAACTGCTGCTGCGCCCAGGCTGGGGGCACTGCTCCCATCGTCACGTAACCTGCAGAAGGCGCCAGAACGGAGGGATGAAGAGAAAGAGAGAGATGGATGGAAGTTTTCTAAATATTTTGGTACAAAACTATTGCGATATATTGCCCACCATTAACCTTGTTTCGCCAGTTTGCTGACTTACATTAAATCTTCCTTACATTAAATCTTCCTTTTATAGCCAAGTTCAAGTTGTTTTCAATTAACTCAGCATTTTTTTTTTTTTTAACAAAAAAGTGGTTATTTTGACAAATTTTAATCTGGCTTCCGACCTCACCACAGTACTGAAACAGTACTGAAACAGCTCTTATAAAAAAAGTAAATGATATGCAGCACTGATTCAGGTGAAATATCAGTTTTAGTTTTACTAGATCTCAGCAGGGCATCTGACACTTTAGATCACAGAATAAAGCTGGACAGCTTGGAAATTTGGCAACAGTAATTGGTTCAGGGCAAACTGGAGTTACTTTGTCACTATTGGCATTTCTGATAGGTTGGCTATGACGTGCGGCATACCCCAGGGATCAGTTCTCGGACCTCTTCTGTTTGATTTCTATACGCTGCTTTTTGGCCAAAGCACATGGTGTCAGAGCACATTACTCCGGTTCTAAAATCTTCCAGTTGGTCACAGAATACACAGAATACATCTTAAAGTGCTGCTACTAGTCTATAAATCACTGAATGGTTTAGGCCCAGAACATGTCTCCAAGATGTTCAAAGAATATAAACCAAGCAAGTCTTTTAGATCCTTTTAGGTCTTTTTAGACCTTTAGATGACAGACTCAGGTCAGTTAGTAGAGCCCAGAGTCCCTCAGGATCTTGGTTGCATATTTTAACCCATAAGCACCCGGTTTACTGTTAAGGGGGACAAAATATCTCTCTAAGAATGCCTCTATAGTTTCTACAGTACTTTATAAACATAATTTATGTATGTTGTGTTTCGTCTTCAGAAGGTGCACATAACTTGTGGTTTTGTCATAAGATGTTAGCTTGCTATTGAAAAGTGAGTGTTTAAGATTGACCCAGATGTTGTCTGGGTAGTCTACAGTCTTTTAGGTATGATGAATATTCAAAGGAATTACAATCTTAAGTCACTTTTTTTAAGTTATGAGGTCCAAAAGGCACAGTGTACTGATAATGACCCATAAATAATTATGTAATGCACAATGAATGTATAGCAGAATGACACAAGCTCTAGACGTCTATAGGTTAATGAACCCCAGAAAACAAAAGACCAAGATAAATATCAAATATCAAGTCTAATAGATCTTTGTAGATCTTTACTTCAAAGTCATGCACAGAGACACAGGCCACTGTGAACTCATTACCCTATAAGCTTTAAGCACCACCATTCAGCTGAAGAGGCTTGGAGTGAAGCTGTGGACTTCTTGATGTGTAGAGGAAGATGACCCAGTTCTCCTGAGTGAAAAGGTCTTTATAGCTCAAATGAACTGCAGTAATTACTGCTCACAATAGGCCAGGCCTAATGAACAGGAGCTCTCTTTAGAGGAGGCCATTATAAAACCCTGACTCATATCACGCAAGCCCTTATTTCATTGCACATCTCCCTCTTTCTCCCAAATGGCCAGTGCAGACTTTACTACCTGAATCTTATCTTGTCCTTGCCACACACCACACACACACACACCTTGCAAACATTCTGCACAGTATCATGAAGTGACAGTTTAGATGATGAAACCAAATGGGACTTTTGCTATGATTATAGGCCTAAATATAAAAAGCTATATAACATCAATAAAATATGGTTGAGTAAGATTTCCATGCTTTTTTCAGCAGCGTGTGATCTTTTGCACAAGAAGCCAAGCAAAATCTACTATTCATTCCTCATAACTGTGAAGCTCTAGAATAAAGGCACTGAAATCTCTAGTAACCATTTATTTAAAAAGCACATTTCACACATCAAAATGCAGCTCAAAGTGTTTTACAAAGAAATGGAAAAAATAAACATAGGAAATTAACAGAAAATACAGTTCTACGCAAAAGTTTGGGCACTCCTGGTCAAATGATGTGTTTTGTTGTTTTACTAAGTGAACACGCCTTCTACAAAGAACACACTTTTGCATGTTTTAATGCACAATTACTCTGCTGAATTTAACATATTGCTGCTGTCAGAAGAAAATCGCTTCCAACAACAGCGATATATTTATATGCACACGCGCACACACACATATGTGTGTGTGTATATATATATATACACATACATACATATATAATGTGCTATAACCATTGGCCACGTTTTATTTTTTACCCAAACATGTTAAATGAAGTCAGGAAATTACACAAAAGCCTCCAACTCCAAGTATTAATTTATATTAATACTATTAATTTGTCCACTTTTTACTTTCATACTTTTGTGTACCTACTGCCATTTTCACTCGTTCATCTTTCTGGTCTTAACACCAGTGAGCTACAGCCGTGCCCTCCCAACAAAATCTGTTCCCAAAGGTGTCACTGATATTATGTCACTGATACCCCAACACACCTCAGATGCCTTTCAGATTTTTTTCTTATGTGCATCTAAAATGACTAAAGGAGATATTTCTGAGGAGATTAGATATAAGATATTACAGGGGAACGCCAAAGGAGAACAAGTGACAAAGTGGTCAAAAATTATTTAAAAATTCTTCCAACACAGAACTCCTAACATCTGTGCAAGACCTGGCAGAGCACTAAAAGTGTCACCATCAGATAAACAGTACTGAAAGCTTTAATCTTTGAGAGAGAGGAGAAAATTAAGCTCTAATCTTGCTTCAGGTCTGAAACATCCAGAGGTGGTCCTGTCCATCCTTTCACTGTGAGAAAACATCTCAGCATCTGAAAGGATGTGTAGCTGTCAAGAAGCTTTTACTAAGAAAAAGAAATAGACCACTAGACTAGCACAAGTCTAACAAAACTGAACATCTGAGATGTGGAGTAAAATTTTATGGACCAGTGAGTTGTGAGAAGCAGAAAATGCAGCCAACTTCTAAGACTGAACTTTGAAGGTGTGGAAAAATATCCATGCAGGTTTCTTTAAAAAGACTCCTGAAAAGAGTGGAAGCTGTAATAAGTGCAAAGAGTGGATTAAAAAAAAAGATGTTTCTGTTTTGTTGTTGAGGCTACACTTTTCTATTAAATACATATTGTGTGCTTTTTCCCCCCTGACACTGAAACAAGAGTAATTTGTATATAGTGACAATTTTGTAAGGATATTAAATAAATGAACGGGTTGTCTCTGATTTTTGCACAATACTGTACATATAATAATAAATAAAGCACAAATAAAACACCTAAACTGCATTTTGCTCTGTTCTAATACAAAATTAAAAGAGTCTGTCATTCTTTAATTATACATCATAAAGTTGATGCTGATGCAACACAGGTGCAGCGCACATACATGACATGGATGTGACTTGCATGTTTATTTAAAATCTGCTTGCTGATAGGGAGTTGAGATCAGAGAACGCCACAGGAAGCGAAACCACATTACGCCGAGCTGGGAGCGGAGAGAGGCTTCACGCTGAGAGCCGCTGTATGAACAACAACAATAAGAACAACAACGGCAATAGCAGCGCATTCGCAAGGGCCTGATAACAACAAAACAGCACAGCCGATTTGTAAACCACACATGAACGCCGCACATCTGAGAATCTGTTTCTGTCCCTCTGATCGTTAGAGAGGACCCAACAGGAAGGAAGGGCTCCTTTTGATAGCACATCACTTCCTCTTGGCTCCCAACTTCTCCCCTGTGAAAAAAAACTCAGCAACTCTGCTAGTGACACGATGTTCTGCACCAGTGGCATAAACTGAAATTTAATTAAACTTTTTTAAGCTTGTTTGCTTATTACCAGCATCTTATTCCACAACAATAAACACAGAAAAGTGTGTAAAATTAATCCGGGCTAAGGTGGGAGCACGTAGTCGTGGTTAAAGAGGATGAAATGATTCACTCCTCAGTCAAATGAAGCCGAAGAGACTCAGCTGCCATGACTAGGAGTGTATGAAATGTAATCTCGTTATCTGAAATGAACCGCAGGAGTCTGAGAAGGTAGGGCAAGTAGGTTCTGAGTTGGGCCAGGCAAGCTACAAGTTTAAAGAATTTCTCTGAAATTGTGTCCTCAGGAATCCTGATTTTTCTGAAATTGTAGATTTTTTTTAATCCACATTCGCAGCAAAAGCATTTCAAAACTTCCACACAAGTTTCCACAAAAGAACATCAGCATATGTGATGCAAAAAGTTGCTGAAAGGCGTGACAGTGTTTTTGAATGGAACATTATGGCTACGTCTAAAGCATTAAGAAAACAACAGGAATTCCTAACTGTTGACTGATGGTGTAATGATAAAGTAAAGCTAAATTAGGTCAATTTTACCAAACTTTCTTTACAAAGATATTTTTTCTGATGCATACAAAAATGGAGAAGGCGAGATTTAAAAAAATCTCTACCCTGGAGGGTCTGCTCCAAAATCTCAGTTTTTAGTGACCTGAAATGCCGTTTTTGTGCAGACTGGAGGCCAAAATGACGACAAAAATATTAACATATAACAGGCTCCTATAAATAGCAACTTTATCATTAACCAATAGGTTGTTAATGATAGGTAATAATTATATTGTTATTTATGTATTAAGCTTTTAAGACTTCACAGTTCACACAAAAATAATAATAATAATAATTTTTAAAGTGCTTTACAGACATGTGATAGATAAACAGCAATAAAAGAAATTATAAGTATTCATTTAAAATCATAAGGAAATGACAGATCAAATTAAAAGATAAACACCATGAGATGTAGAGTTTTAATTAAATGCCAAGTTAGAGAGACGTTTTTAGATGCTTCTTAAAAATGAGCACTAAGATTTACTGCTTAATAAAAGGTGGACTTGAGTTCCACAGTTTAGAAGCAGAATAACTGAACAAGTCTCTCCATGTTTTCTGTGTTTTACAGAAGGTGTTTGTAGAAGGTCAGTATCTGCAGATCTAAGATTACGTGCTGGAACAACAGACAGACACTCTGTGATGTAAGCGGTGCTATAACGCCATCGAGAGACTTAAAAACTAGTAGCAGAACTTTAAAGTCTATCCTGAATGATACAGACAGCCAGTGCAGCTCTTTCAAAACAGGGGTGATTTGATCTCTCTGTTTAGTTTTTTGAGTTGTAAAGCTGTATTGTTTTCTTAGGAAGTCCAGCAAGGAGAGCATTATAGTGATCAAGTCTGCTTGTAACAAATGCATGAAGACGTTTCTCTGCGTCACTCTAAAATAGAAAAGGCCAAACTTTAGCAATATTTCCCAGATGATTGAAAGCTACTTTAGTGACTGCGTTTACATGTGTTTACAAAGACACACACAAATCATTAAATCACAAACTATTAAATCATTTTTAAGTTGCTGTTTTTTAGTGCCTGTTATTAAAAATGCATTACGTCCATATGTATGGACGGGGCCTGAGATGCTGTATGCAGATATTTCTGAAAACACATTTTTGCGCTCTATTTTAAAAATCATTCCCAGTACAGACTAACAGCATTTTCAAAAATCTCTCTGTTCACATGAGAATGCTCGAAACTGCTCACATGGGCATGCCAGTCCAGGCAAACTCCTCAAGAAGAACTTCACAAGCATGTGTATTGCACAAAATGTGGAGCAAAGAAATAATCCAGTCATCAGTCGTGTCAGTCATTAGGTATGCACAACACAACAATACAGCAATGACCATTCGTAAGTTGGTGCCTTGATGTCAGTATTTTCAAACAGATATGTCTACCAGGGAGGTGGGAAGGTATTTTAAGTTGGGGGTGCTGAAATTTTAAGCAGTGTGTACGTGCTGTGAATGGTGACATCACAGAAAATGATTTGCCTTTTTTTCCCCATTTCAATTTATTCAATGATTTACATAAAAGAGAATGTGTCATGACGTGCGAAAGATGACAATGTACATATAATAACTGACACAAACCACTACAGCAAGATTTCTCTGTTCTCTCCCGTTCTGGCCGAACTTTATGCAAATGAGTTTAGTGGTGTCTAATTAGATTGCTGATGTGGCATGGTAACCAATTGGAAGTGATTCGGCTCTCTGTTAAAAATTTAAATGCAGTCCTAAACAGTTAAACAGTTAATGCAGATATACTGAAAATATATGAGTAAGGCATAAAAATACAAACTCCGTTCTAAAACAGTTGCAGTTAAACAACCCGGAATCAACTCCCTCGCTTCCTGCGTCCCCGCATTTTACCTGCCCTCGCAAAACAATTGGGGTTTAAAATCTTCACCTTGGAGAGTATTTTACAAAAGCTCAGTTTTAAGTGTGAAAGAAGTGATATGGACAGGGGGCCAAAAAACGCAGAGAAAAGTCTACGTTTTCAAAAATATCGTATAAATGTAGAGGAGGCCCGAGTTTCCGCTGAGCGACAGATGGGCAGGGTGACGGGCAGTATGTTTCCAGACGTATCGATGATATACTGTTTAGTGTTTCAGAACAAGTCAATCTGGCTGCAGCAGCTGTCTCAGCCTTGTCGACTAAATTGAGTTACAGGGTATGCGAAGATGACGCACCGTCACTGCTACTAGGCTAGCAATTAGCGTGTAGCTGCTAACACTCGCTGAGAGTTGAGCTTCCCCAGAAGCAGCGCTACACAAAGAGAATCGTAACATCACTCAGTGGAATCAGGGTGTTCCCCTTAAAAAAATCTCCACAGCCATTCCCTTTCATGTCTGACATCACAGCTAGAGATCTCTGTATTGTAAGGCTCATGATTCTTGTCTCTGAGGATTTGTGCTTTGTTGAAACACTTTGTTTCAGAAACTGGGAGGTGTGTGTGTCCACCCACACACCCACACAAAAAGAAATTCTACTATGCTTGGCCAAGGCTGTTCTTTATGACTATTCTCAACCAACTCAACCTGAGGGAACACAGATAGACACTAATAACAGACGTACTGAACAGAATACTGGACTGGGCCTACAGCGGGTAGTTAATTCAGTCTCCTTCGTGAAGCGTTTGTCATGCAGCCCAGTATACAGGCCAGTAATGAGAGCATTTGTATTCTACAGCAGGAGGAGAGAACGCTTCATTTAGCCTGAGCAAGTCAGACACAGGGTCTAATATACCGCTCACTCTGTCTATCTGTTTCTCTTACTCACATACAGACTGGTAAACTGACCTGAGGGCACGGAAGCGGGGTTGAATGGGGTGAACAGTTCTGAGGGCGGCTGGTGGGCCAGCGTTGGGTCCAGTGTGTTGGCTGGAGAGGCTGGGGTCTGTGGAGAAACACATACACCACATATCAAGGGGCATTCTGGCCTAAAACTAGCATTTAATATGATATTTGTTATATTATTATGTTCCTTAGTGAGGCATTGTTCCCTTTCATCTGTTTGACAGAATTCATGATTTTGTTTCATTTTTGTTTAATCTTCCATCAGTGTTCTCTCGCTACAATGCCCAGCATGCACTACACAAATACATGGCACTATTGCTGGCAATCCTGACTGTCGGCCAGTGATCTAGAGCAGTGGTTCCCAAACCGGTCCTCAGGGCCCCTCCGACAGCCAACAGTTTTGCTCCAATCCAACTCATCAACAATACATAGGGATGCAAAAATGTGGACCATCTTGGGAACCACTGATCTAGAAGCTAATAAATGCATCTGTGGTGCTAACTAGCATTAGTCACTTTCTTTGTTAAAGGAATAATTCAGGCAGCTAGTAAAACAAAAACAGATAACATTTCAAGCAGTTCTTTCCAAAGTGCCCACCCAAAACGCCAGTAGTCTTTCAAAATTTACTTTCACTTTCAAGATCCATCATCAGAAACGTGTTTTCTTAATCTTTAAACCATGAGATCTTGCTTTAGAGGCTACTTCAGCGCCAATGTAAGAGGCAAATAAACATGTTTAAAACAGAAGAAGCGATGGTTAACGTTTTCATTTTGGTCAGAGCGTCTGACCACTGTGTGAAAAATCAAACGCATAATTCCCTTTAGCCCAAACGTAGATGATCAGTCAGGACATGTTTGGCGTCTGAGGACAGAATTTTTGAGCCACGATGCCTGCTACTAATGTCTTGCACGGTACATGTACATTGCACATTTGCCTCAAACTCTACTAAACTGTAGACTTTGAGTCAAATGTGCAATGATTTAGCCAAACATGTCCTGACTGATCATCTGGTAAGAGGAACTCTGCATTTGATTTTTCATGAAATGGTCAGATACTCTGACCAAAATATGTCTATTATTGTGTTTGTGTGTATTTCAATACTCACTGAAGGAGAGGTGATGTCGGGAGGAGTAGACATGTCTCCAAAAAGCTCTAACTGGTTGATATTCTGCAGTAAAGAGAAGAAAATAAGACACAGTAAAAGCACCACTCAGTTCCAGAACTCTCTCCTGAATCTGCTTCTTCACCCACATAAATCGCTCCTATCTCTGGGCACACAGCTGGGATAAGCAGGCATGACAAACCAGTGCCAGCAATGGGTGAAAGACAGGAATGTAAATAGAGTGTTATGTGGGTAATGATGATGATGATGATGATGATAATTATATGAGGGAATGAAGCTTCATATACCCACCATAAAAAACCTCCATCCAACATCAGTAATACAGCACTCTGGAAATAAACTTCTTGGAAGTGACAAAGCTTATGTTGGACTGCGACTCCATTTAATACGGGCCATAATAGTCTGTAACTGCAAAATGCCTGTTTGCAGACATGCACTAAATTAGAAGTGACCAGAAAATACTTGATTCATATGTGAATATGAGCTCCAGACATATTAAATACATTTAAACAATTACTGCCAGAAGTAAGCAGAAGTCTAGACCTACTTACACTGTGTTTACTGTTCAAGATGACTGACACTATTTAAAGGGGAATTCCACTGTTTTTACACATAATACAGTTGTTCAGATGTAAACTAACTCAATCAGAATGGTCTGATGTCAAATGTTTTCATTTTTTTTTTAACAGTGGTATAGCCATTTTATGTCTATATCTAAAACCACCAGTTACTCTACACATCATTTTTGTGATAAATTTGAAAAATAAGATTACTTTGGGTGTGTTTCCCCTTAGAAAACCCTGCAAGTACCACTCTGCCATGAACGTATTTAAGATATTTGTGTTTTAGGCCAAAAGCTTATCTTAAAACTAGCATAAAACAATGTCTGAGGCATCAGATCACATATAATATTTCAAGGTAATAGTTCTCTGTGAGGAAGCTTTTAATAAATGCTTCAAATGTCTGGTTCCCATCATCACAGCTGTGAACAATTCTGACATGGCAAGTTTCTTCACATCAAACTAATCTGAAGGACTTAGTTTACAGCTTAATGAAGGAATTATGCAGAAATTTTGATACAGGCTATATCAGGTTTACCTAATGTCTGTCTGTAAACAGGCTTTTTTCAGTTATAAAATGTACTTAACCTTTTCAGAAAAGTTTCATAGTTCTTTTTGGGCACTAGTTCTTTGGTCTCATTGTTAGAGTCTCCTGTCTCAGCCCCATGGAAACAGCAGACTTACTGTCTATATTTAGTCATAAAAGATTTTCAACACATGGTCAGTGATTTGCATGAAATCACATTATGGAATAATTTCCCAGGATATGAAAATCCCCAGAGTATATATTGCCTTATTTGGGATCATCCTGGAGCATTTACAGTTCATGCAGCCTTGAGCGCAGTTGTCAGAAAAGGAATTGGAGGCTGCTGCGCAAGTGAGAGGACGAACAGTTATTCGACCTCACAGGCACGTGAGCACACATGCGAACACACACAATCTCCCTCTGATGTGTTTGACCTTTGAGCTCATTTCAGAGCCCCCACAAGGCCACACGAGGAGAGAAAGGCGCAGAGACATTTATTTCCTATTCTTTTATCAACCGGCTGCCTGACATGGAAATGTGCTGGCCGCACAATGGCCGTATTCAAAGAGAAGGGGCAGGGATCACGGATGAGGGTTAAGTTGTTTGACTGGGGAAAGGAAAGGGCATGTTAACGTTAGCGCTGTACTTCCAGGTCAATGAATGGGAGGGCACTGGAACACTAAGGGACTTGCAAGCACTGGGAGTTGAAAAACACTCATAGCAGGTAACGTGGCATCTACTCTACATGAGAGTTTGGGCTACAATTCAGGTAAATGTCAGTAAAGCTACAGTACCTTATGTGTATGTGAATCACATTTGCTCAATCATTTCTGGCGCTTAATTTGTAAATTATGAGATTCCAGAACACTTAGTGGTGTTGTATCCGGCAAGACCCAGAAAGCACAAAGTGTGCATTAAAAATACATTACTGTTCAAAAGTTTGGAATCAATATTTTCAATAATATAAAAACAATTTGGTTTTAGATTAATGTATTAAGTCAGGGGGGTCTAATTCTGGTCCTGGAGATCTACCACCCTGCAGAGTTTAGCTCCAAGCCTAATCTAACACACCTGATCCAGGTAATAAAGCCCTTCAGGGGCATCTGATTTTAGAGCCAGGTGTGTTGAATTTGAAGTCTCCAGCATGGAAGATCTCCAGGACCAGGACTGACCATCCCTGTATTAAATGAATTCAGTATGCTGTGCAATTTTATAGTTTTCATATAATTAGTTACAATTATTAAAAATAATGTGTACAAAATGATGAATGGAGCTGTAGATTGTAGAATGACTGAGAAATCTGTATAATGCTCAGAATGACGTTATACTACACTTAATGTCTTACATATGAAATTTGGTGATTGTCAAGTGCTTTTGCTGCTAGTCAGGTGGGTGCAGTGGGGGGGTTAGGGAGCCTGATCAAAGCTATTATTTGCACCTGGAGAGCAGCATGCCGCATGTTTCCCCTCATGTTATTTATGATAATTTCTTACTATAACAAGAGATTCCAAACTTTTGAACAGTGATGTAGGTTTCCTGATAACACTGAGTACTAGAATCAACAAGTTCTAAAACAACAAGCATACTCTAATACATTGGTTGCTCAAACACACTTGTTAGACACACTCAGTTACTCAGCATTACTATCTCTTTTGAGAGATGATGGAACTAAATAATCGGATTGATACTTGATGCACTTTCAGTGATGGTGCTTCTATAATCAAGTTGTTTTATTGTCGCTTCACTTCCAAAAAAGAGTTCAATGTGAACAGTAATCAGACTTGTTATTAACTGAAAACCTCATAGCTAAATTTTAGTCACATTTGCTACAACCTGTTTGGTAGATATACTAAGATATTTGTAGAAAATACAAATGAGGCGCGGGATCCACAAAAATAAGTGTCGGATCAAATCCTGGAGAAGCCAGTTCTGGATTGTCCCGGCACAAATTAAGCCCACAGTTGTCTAGAGGTGATGCTTTTAGGGGACCTAACCTGAGAGTTCAATCACTCGTTTCGTTTACCTCTCTGTGCACCTTACCTGGGGGACCAGCTCTAGTTCAGCATCTAGGTCCAGAAGATTGGTCTGGCCATTATGTCCATTCTGTAACAGTAGCATGATGTCAGATGGCACATGAGATGAGATGAACAAACGCTCGACACAAGCACACAGAAGAAGGTGAGTATTTGAGATGGGGATGGATGAGGTTTGTAAAGGTGCCGTCCAGGTGGGACGAACAGAGCTTTCCCTGAACAAGTTGAGGTCATTGCTCAAGTTCAGTGTCCTAGACCTCACCACCTCGTTCATGGTCTCCACACGCCCGCCCAGCAGCCTCACTGCTCTGAATGCAACAGGCCCATCCAAAATGCTACAAATGATGCCGTGCTCATCTTCATTCCCCGCTAACCCCAACCCCAGGCTCTGGGGCGCAGTAAGTGGCGCGGGGAAAAAGCAAACAGAAAGGCCATCTTTCAGCAGGCTGCCAGCGGGGCTTTAATGGGAAAATAATGTGCTCGTATGGGCCTCCCTCGAGAGAGAGAGAGAGCTGAGAGAGAGCAGGAGACCATGAACAACATCTGCTATCATCTCACATCCTGCACTGCTGCAAAACACATGGAGGAGAGGGAGGGAGGAGAGATGGAGGAGAGAAAAAATAGCAAACGATCGAGGTGGAAGGCAGAGAGGAGATAATATTCATATCGTTTGGAACACCAGAACTGACGGAGAGACCGTATTATACAAAACACGTGGCGAGAACATACATACACAACACATGCGCACATGCATGCATGCAAATCAAGGCACTCTAGATGAGTATTCAGAGGCTGGACTGGCAGGTTTGTTCCAGCCCACAGGCCTCTCAGTTTAAGCGCTTAGCATTTAATGTTTAGCATGGAAGGACAGAGGGAGACCGGCAGGTAGAGGGAGCTAATTAAAAGGTGTCCTTGGAGAGAGATAAGACCCGACTGTAATGAAAAAGCAACGGGAGCCGGCCTGCTGCCACCGGCTGCCATTTCACTTCTGCTAATGCTGAAAGAATAGACAGAAGCTAGGAGGAGATAAAGAGAGAAGGAAGGAGGGGGAAAAAAGCAAGAGTGAAAGAAAGAGAGAGTATGAACAACACATAAAACACTATGAGGATTAAACAATGATTGGGACATTGTAGAACTCTCTTCACATCTTCTATCCCCCAGTTCACTGCCTCCACCTGTCCTCTATGAACCAGCCACCTTTGACACCCACATGCAAGAAAACAAACACATTACGTGCGAGTTGTGTGTATTGCCTGCGGTTGCCTTGGTGATGGTGGAGGCCTGACCTTGGTGGGAGTGTGAAGGTCACAGTGCCGGGGCTGCCCGTCTTTACTGGGTTCAGCAGTTCTATCAGAAAGCAGTCATATTACCAGCTCCAGAGATGCCATCTATCAATCTCTTTACACTCCCTCAGGGATCACCACGGCAACTTGGGGTTCATTGGAAATGAGCATGTGGGCTATTATAGGCCGCCGTACCGATAAGCTGTCATCGGTCAACAGCAAATGGCTTTCACATCCTACACATTAGGGCTGAACAATTACTCGTTTTTATACCGAAATCGCAATTTGAAAGAGTGAAATTTTCAAATCGCAAGAAGTGCAATTTTAATTATTTCTTTTTTAAGTGGGGAAAATATCGTAGAACTTGTGAACTGGTGGCCTGACACACTACATTTAACGTTCAAGCCTTGAGCCTGAAAAAGAACGAGGTACTGGTCTTCTTGGTGGAAAAAATGCCTGGAGCTTAATTTATAGAAAATAACTGCATTTAAATCGCAATGTTGGTGAGAAAAATTACATATTTCCCCCAATCCTTCAGCCTTTCACATGCAGCTCATCGTGAGAAAACTGTAGCTTTACAAAAGAGCAGACTGCCTACAAGTGCTGCTTTCAAAGCTAACAGTAACCTGAAGCTGAGTGTTGCTCATGTTTAAAGGTGTGCAGTGAAAAAAAAAGCTCTTATTCCGTGATAGCAGAGCGCATTAGGGTTAAATGGTCTCCATGGCAACATTTAGCGGAGTTTTCTCAGTGTAAACAGCAGCCGTTTGAGTCACCTAATCTGTAGGTGAACGTATGCAGAGCCGTATCCTGATGCAACCTAATCCTGCGCAAAGCTCTTGATACTTTCCATCGTGCGTTTAATTTTCCCGCGATCCCTTTAGCCCACTCCTCAATCTTCATCGCTGCGACGGCCGCCTATCAATTAACCGTCTCTGGGGAGATCCTAATTATCCACATGCATGTGTTTTGCATACATTTAATGCTGCCCACTTAATTAAGGCTGTCTGGCTAATCTCTGGTACACTGAGTGATCACGCGAAAGCACGCAGGACGGACGCGAGGACCGCAAATGCAAAATGGAGCGCAGAGAGAGATAGAGCAAGCGAGATGGAGCGAGAAGAAAGGTTGTATGGGTTATATCATGCGTTTTGGCACTGGAGATTCTGTTTTGATAGGAGCTTGGCAGCTTGAAGGCACACTTGGGAAGCTGGGAACTCAAAGCAAATAGAAACAGAAAAGAGAAGCTACAGAATGAGAAGGAAGAGAGAGAGAGAGAAGCAGAAAGACAGGTGGGATGAGTAGAGAAAAGAATGTATATCAATGCAGAATGAACAAAAAACAAAGAAAAACAGACACCAAAATCTAGGTTTGAGGGAAGATGTGTTGGGGTTTAGAGGAATTCGACAAAAGCAGAACATTGTGACCCATGAGTGGACTGATATGAGCTTTTAAACCTAATCTCTGTCTGCATATCGGTCCATAGACAATAATCACCCTGAAAAGCAAACCCACTGACTTAAACAGAGGACAATGGGAAGGTGGTTCAGCACGTGCCCATTGAATTTCATCGTAAGCCAACAGGTTTTCTTCTCTTTTACTAATTACAAGGAAAATCAAAATGACTGCCAATGGAAATCGACTATTTGCTATGGATATAGCAGACGTAGATTAGGCTGAAAAACACTGGAATATCCCTTTAACCATCACCTGTCAAAAAGGAGTGAAACTAATCTGGGCAAGTAAATCTGAATAGACCAAGTGTTGGCACAAGGTGTAGGGGAGGCATTTAAATTAAAGAAAGCTAGGACTGAATAAACAGAGCAGCAATAACACTTGCAAGAGGCAAAGAGAGACTGATTGGAATATGAAAGGATCAGCCATTTCCAAACCAGAGCATGTAAACACAACAGCCATATCATGACCGCAGTATGAATTCACCAGCCACTTCAATAGAGACAGCAAGGTCAACCAGGTCTGATCCAAATCCATACAATTATAACTGCGCATGTCGTTGCGACCTTCAAAGCTCGTCACCTCTTTGAAAATGGCTGGGTCTTATCTGTCAGGCAGCCAAAGAACAGTGCATAAAGTACAGTGCCAGTGCCTGTTTTGATTAGATCGTGCAGGATTTTTATACAGTCATGGTGTGGCATTAATGTGATGTCCCTGGAGCTTGGCATTGAAAATGCCATCATGGATACACCAGCTGCCCGTACACATGGAGTGAAGGCAAGCACGCAGCATGCAGACCCACCAAGCACATAAAACCTCGAGCAAACCTCTCATTACGGTGGCTAGACCAAGGACACACATTGGGACATCAGCCACTGACAAACACACATCCACTTCACAGCATCATCCACAAAGCACGGAACATAGTGAACTCGTGAAGCATCATTTGTTCTTCAAGAAAACAAAAAGTGAGAGGTTTGCAAGAGGGTGGACAGGCAAACACACACACACACACACAGCTCCACTCACTGGATGTCGCTTTGGGACGTCATACACTCCCTCCTTTTGTTGGCTGGTAGGGACCTGGGGTGGACGATCAGTCCAGCCGAACACACGAGCAGATCACAAGTTACCATCACTTCACATCTCAGAAGAGGAGACCGTGCGTGGAAGAGTGATTGATAACACTTTCTTTTACAGCCCCTTAAGTTTAGGTATTAACCACGCAAGTCTGAAGTACAAAGTACAAGGTCCTTGGTTTGATCAGGACTCTTGAAGTACCAAGAGATTAGCGACTGCTAACTAAATTACACTGAAATGGCCAACAGGTTTAATGCATTTTGCTGGGTTAAACTCCAAAGTAGTAGGTAATAATTTTAGGTAAAATGGGAGAAAGAACCCAGACAGCCTAGCTAAATTACACTAAAATGTCTAACAGGATCTAGTTAGGGGTCGTTTTTAGTTGAATAAATTTAAAAACCTTTCAGCAAGATTAAATTTCACAAGCAACCTAATAATAAATGAAAACAAACTGTTTTCAAAACCTGTTTACGAACAATTCAGTCAAAAGAAGAGGGAGTGCAAACATCACAACTTACCCTACAGTGTTAGTCACTAAAGGTGCTGTGCAGGTACATTTTTTGTTCATCAAGGCACAAACAATGTAAATGTACCCTCAAAGGTACAACAGTGGTTTTAGGGTCCCATTGTGAACCTTAAATAAGTTTTTTTTTTTTCCAGATGAAAAGTATGTATTTGTACCTTTTCATAACTTAATGTTTTAAAACAGAACAATAAAATAAAAAGCCTGGAGACGAGACGGGGTGTGTGGAGTCAGTACAACTTAGAAAATATAATTTTTAACAGATTATGGTACAATTATGTTCCCTGACTAAAGGTACCCGAGATGTACTCTTGAGGGAACCACCCCAGTGACAAGAGGGGTACTGCCCCAGCGACAGCTTAGTACCTTTATTTCTGAGAGTGTACAGGGGGGGTGTTAACTGTAACAGAAGGAGGGGCTAGTCGTAACAGGAGCCGAATCTGGTAAACCAATACAAATCAATTAATTCAATACAAATCTGTCTTTTGAACTAGACGCGTTTCCAACACAAATACATTCAAATGATGTGGCAACTTTATATCTTATTCTTGACCATGGAGCACATATCAGCACAAAATTTAAAACTATTGTATTTACACATACAGCACGTTTTTGAAAGTGCATAAAACCTCCATACATTGGATGATGTGGACTTCTCGTCTCTCATTGTTTAATTTAGGAACACTTAGTAACACTAGGCTACAACTGAACTTTAACCTGACTAGCTCTCACTGTGAGTATTTACATACTTCGAAACAGTGCTATATTACAGCCATCAGAAGAGAGATTAAATAATGTAGATGTAAATCCTGTAACTTGTACAATGTCAAAGTCACTTATACAAAGTGGTCTTCATGGTCAAATATCTGGAAAAATATCTGTCCAGTGTGAAAATTTGCACATGGCGTTGCTATAGAATACGAGATCACCATCAAAAAAAGTTCCACTTGGACCTGTTTAACCACATAAATGATCCATGCTACAATTATATAATAGGTGAAAAAAGTGATCTTATGAGCAGATAATTATGTGGAGTAACAAGGTTGTAAGTAAAAACAAGCATGCTTTGGACTGAATTTCACTGTAATGTAACCCATTTGAGCGGGAAAGAAAACTGGAAAGCCCTCTTAAGTAAATGGTAAAGACAGAGAATACTGCTTCCTTTTACAGCTCAGATTCAGTTTCATGTTTAGGGTACATATATAAGACTCATGTCTTTGGATCTTCTATCTACTTCATATTTAGAGTTTTTTTTTTATTTAAGTGACAGCTTAAACGTGTCATGACAGGGAAATTTAGTTAGACTGTCTGGTTACTTACTATCACTTTAACCCCAAATAATTACCTAGAAATTTGGCATTTGTAGCTCACTTTTAGCCAGATAATAATTAGAACCTGTTGGGTACTTCAGTATAACTTAGTTGGACTATCTTGGAACTTACTATCATTTTACCTAATTTTAACAATTATCTAGCACTTTGAAACTTGTACCTCACACTTGCCTAGTTAATACCTAGAACTTAAGGGACTGTAAAAGAAAGTGTTACCAATACAGTGCCTTGTGAAAATGTTATGTGAGTGAAAGTGTTATATGTGTAATAGCAGATATAGTAACACACAGTATTCTTCATTTTTATGCCTCATTTTTACTGCACTCTGGCTTGTTGCATAAACTGCTTTTATAACTGACTAACATTTAAAGAGAAAGAGCGTCACTTAATGTCATATAACAATTTCCATGTGTTCTCTCTGAGGCAAATTAGTTGGTCAGTAGCAACCCACACTGCTGCTATTTTAACTCTTGTTTTGAAGGTCCTTTCCTCTCTCTAATTTGCCATTGTTCTTAATGTTCCTCTTCCTGGCAGGTTGATTGCTGCACAGCATGTTTTTATTTGATCGCTGGTTTGAAATCATTTTTTCTTCTTTCCATCTCTCTCACGTTGAAAGATCAAAAGCGGACGGTGGTGATTAATCACTCTCCCCCCTTTCATCAGGAGAGCTGGAGGAGAGGAGGAGGAGATGCCTGCTGCTTACTCACACGGCTGAATAAATCCTCTACTCAGACCTGGAAGGTCAGCCCAACGACATGTTGCTGAAATGGGGCAAGGGCCAAGGCTGCCTGGCATCCCTGGAGCTCGCTAGAGGTCAAAGCTGCTTCTGATGCACCCAGCTAGACTCCCTCAACGTATTCTGCTTGTAATCATAAGGGCACGTAACATCTTCTAAAGGTTGAGGTCGTAATTAGGAAACTTGTGTAAGATAAGTACTGCTGTTGATGGGCATTGTTATTGATAGTGGCTTTTAGATGATTGCTCATAAGTGATTATTGAGGGTTCTGCCTAATTTACATTTAATTTAACCCAGGGGTCGACAACATGCGGCTCCAGAGCCATAGCGGCTTTTTACCGCCCTGTTGCGGCTCCAAAGCAAAATCAGATTTTTAGGTGAAAATAAAATAATCCTCCTTTTCAGTAAAAAGCTCCGCTGATCATTCCAACACAGTTTAAACACTAAATGGTCTTAAACACTGGATTAATGTAGCCCATATCTGCTAATTCACTCTTTAACCCTGAAGATTTGCGTGCAGACTGTTGGTCAACCCAAGATGGTTTGATTTCTGTTGAAAGGACGAAATGGCTTTTCTTAACATAGGTGTTGCCGACCCCTGGTTTAACCCCTTATAAACTCAGGTCCCTAGCCACGTGTGATTTCTCTTTGGCCATTTTTTTTCCAGATATCATAACACAAAGCGTTATTTTTTGAGCAATGCCACAGAAGAACTACTTCTGGTTCACTAAGGAACCATGTTTGATAAAGATCTGTGGATGTGAAGAACTTCTAAATGTTTAAAGAACCTTTACATAATGTATGGGTTGTATTCCCGCTTAAGGGTTCTTCCCACAGCCTTTACATTACGTGGATATTTTTTACATTTTGAAAAGGTTCTGCACATTAACACTTACAAAATCTCATTCATCTCATTTCTACAAAAGTGATTCTCCAAAGAACCATCTATTAAAAGGTTATTAAAGGAAGCAAAAGATTCTACTATTATTGTCCATAAAATGTTTAGAATATTCTGCACTGTTAATGCAATTTGTGTTAGCTATAAGTTCTGGGTGGCTAATGACCCAAGCCATGTACTAATGAACAGTTGGCTAAACACTCATGCAAGTGTAAAGACAATGTTGTGCATCAGTAACATATTGCTTTTGCGAAACAGTGGCCAGAGCATCCGCTAGTCATATCGCTAATCTGGTTGTATGTACTCGACACGCGCAGTTTCCCCTAATGCCTTACAGTCAGCAAACACAAGAAGCTAAGATTGAATCTGACCTGACCGATATGGCGGCTCGTTTGATGTTAGGAGTGATCAGGCTCCAGCTTCTATGGATTTCGACAGCGCACAGATGTCTCTTTGATGCCTCTGAATCGCTGATGTAGAGCCAGTAGCCAAGGAGTGTGTTTTACAGTCTGGTCAACACTTAAGAGCTTAGCGAGCGATTCAGTTAAAAGGTAATAGACAGACACGGGCTACATTTCCCTCGCCGCCCGTTTCAAGCTCCTACAAAACTAACTTGACACTGCTGAGACGATCACAGCGGCAGACCGGCAGCGGGTAAAACTTTGCGCAACGACAAATGGCCAAGCAAGCTAGTGGCGGCGCCGATGTTTGTTGTAAGCCTGAGTGATTTCACCAGCGTTTCTGACTGAAGCCACAGGTGACAAGACACAGCAGCACCTGAGGGGAGAGCACCTGCTGTTGTCATGGTCATGGCACTGAAAGCGCGGAACATTGCGGAATGTAAATCTTTGAGAGGGCTGTCATGGTGAATTAGCGCAGCATGGTGTAGCGCTCTGTCTGTTCTGTCTAATTCACAGGTGGGACTCTGGCAGCTACACAGAGAAGTGTCTGTAGCTGTTCCATCAAAGGCTGCCTTTATTTAACAGGCCTATTCTGAGAACAATGGCAGTATGGTAGTTTATTGATTTGCTACAAGAGCCCTGACAAAATTTGCCCCTGTTAGCTTAAGGTTGATATATTGATATTTAAAACTTGACATCTTGTATTGGATTTCCACTGGTCTCTGGGTGGCTTCTGCTTTAAAAGGCTGTGTAAAGGATGAGTAAAGGATGAATGTTAGCGTTTTGAACTGATTCTGAAACTAATTTTAACATGACTTTGATACAGGATGAGGTTTATTTGTTTGCTGATAAATTTTATTTGTCTATTTGGTTTAACATATTAAAGGCCCACGCTTAGAGGAACATTTCGACCAAAATCCCATGCTGGGATGCGATGATGCACTATAGCACATATGAAATAACACTGCAAACAATTAAATGCTTTTAAATGCTAGTTTATGCTATTAAATCCTAGTTTTAGGGCGGAACGCCTTTACAGAGTCAAACTAAAATCAAAGTTTACTGTTTTTTTTTGTTCATCATATTATACACAATTCATCATATCATTAAAAAAATATTTAAATTGTAATGACTTTTACTTTTGGGGGAAAAAGTGTATGTTTCACCTGCTCCTCCAACCATCCCACCTACCAGAGAGGAAACACTTAGCTAGCTAAAGAGACCCTCCCTGATACCATGTTTACCTTATACGTCACAGTACGGAAGGAAAATATACTATGATATTCAATTCACACTGATTTTAATTTCCTCATTCTAATAACTACATAATGCATATTAGTGCCACAGCAGTTAGCAAAAAAATATAGTATTTATTAAATATGATAAGTTTTAGGTCTACTAAAAAGTCTAGGGTTGAAGGGTTTTAACAAACCAATTTCTGCTCAGTCAAAGGGCAGTTTGAATAAGAACATAATATGGGGGAGGGGCTTAAGTAAAAAGTACCTGATAAATGCTCTCCTCTGATTGGTCACGGATGGGCTCGTGTCCCGCCTCAAACACAATGTACTACAACATCGGCAGCAGAGGTGAGATCGAAAAGGGGAGGGAGAGACAGGGACAGGAAGAAGGGGAAAGGGGGAAGAGAAAAAGAGAATAGGCAGCAAAGTGATTGATCACAAAGGAAAAAAACAGCGGCCACGGCCTTAGGAGAAGCGCCCTGACCCATTAGCCTTGTGGGATAGCACTAGGCCGCCTGGATGATTGAAGTTTGGTCATGGTTAGTGCTCTTGACCTTCAGCAGTGTGTGATAACTGCATTTCTATGGCCCACCCATCCCTCCCTCGCGCCCACAACCCCAACAGAAAACACAGAACATGGAGGCTTCACAGCTGAACCAGTATTCAGTTGGGACTGCTTGTAATCGAATCGTACCTGCTAGCTTGTAGGCCTATATAAAGCATGTAGCATAAACATCATCTTTAGAATTCTGCCTTATCTACTCTTCAAAGAGCCTAACTACATGCACTCATATGCTCATGTGTTCATATGCAATTCCCTGTGCAGCAGCACACGGCTCTACGATTTTCGTACCTACAAACAGAATGATGAAGCGCATTCTCCCACATTCAGCAGAAATAAATCACAGCGCGGGGTCCTCCGTAGGATTTTGTGGCCAGATTCATGTATCTTTAATGAGACACATGCTGTACATGTAAGCTCCGGTGATGCAGAAACACGGCTGGCTTCTAGCAAAGTCCAGGTAAAAAAATCCTCTGGGGAGCTAGACGCTGAGGCTTTAGGTTACAAATAAGTGCGCCAAATTGCCAGACTGCTCATAGATGCCAAACAGCAGCCCCGTTTGGCCCAACTTGTGACATATTTCTCCATGATGCAGGAATCACACTGAGACTCCACAGCATTACCAGCATGCAGCATTCTACCTAATAGCTTGTTCCCCTCTATTTTAGACAGCGGAATATCTCATTGCCATTTTAGATAATGGCAAAGTCTATGTCATTTATATTATAATGGAACTATAAGCTAATTCACCTCCATATTAGACCTAGCTGCACACATTGGCTAATCCCTTTTCCTGCTCCAGACTGCTTAACAAGAAATTGCCACAGACATAAGAATTAGCGTGCCTACTTTGCATCATAACAGATGACACCAGCGCTGAAAACTATTGCGCATTTAACAGGTGATTTGCCTAAAGGTATTGTGTACGGTTTGGGGACTAAGTTATTGTGATTGGCTTATCATTACCATTTCCTGCCATTCAGTCTCATTCCTTCTTATTTAAAGGGCCCATATCCTGCATTTTTCTTGCATTTTACTGTTTTCCCTGAGGTAATTCATTTGCACATGACCAGTTTTCAACCTCGCTTTATCCCACAGAATCAAACAGTCTGTTTTTGTTCTTGTGTCTGATATAAGCCTGACATATCTAAACGAGCTCGGTTCTGATTGGCTGCTCTGTATTGTTCCTCATTTAAAAAGCAGTTCTGGTAGAAACACTTCTTACAACTTACAAAACTGCTGTAGGCTAAACAGGCAGATAAATGTAAATGGGTTGGTTTTTGTGACATCACAGAAATTCAAAACGGGTCGTATCTGTAGCTTAAATTCCATATATGAACTGTATAGACTGACAGTACGACATGTTTACATACTATATCAAATATATAAATTCATGATATGGGCCCTTTAACATATCAAGATATTATCCTACATCTGTGAAGTATATAACTCAGCATTCCAGAATTCCATTTGATTTCCAGTTTTACAGACTAGCTTAACTCGCTTTTGCTGAACAACTGGGCAATGCAAAATGGATGTAATGCACATGGCGTGCGCACACACGCGCACACACACACACACAATCGCACAGATACACACACGCAGCCCAAGATGAGGATGTGTTAAAGCTGTCTGTTTTCAGTATGAGCTTGGAAACTTCTCAGGGCTGGGACCACATCCGAATATTCTCACGACAGATCCCACTCACATTGGCAAAACAAGTAAATAATTAAAAAATAATAACAATAAAATAAAATAACAACCCATTAGGGATGATCCACCATGTATTTTATGCGCACGGAATGATGAAATAACAAGACTTATTAATTCAGGCCGAGCGAAAAAAAGAAGACAGAAAATGAAGTGAGGTTATTTATTTATATAAGGCAGATTAAAAGCATATTACGGCGTGGGGAGCCCAGTGCGGCTTGGTGAGAGGCAGACTAATTTGACAGGGTACATTTAGGCAAACATTATGATTAGCGATTTAGCACACAGCGTTACCTGGTACACCGGATCCTCCACGTCTTCTTCCAGAATGGTCTTGAGGAGCGATTGTGCAGGAGGAGGGATAGAGAGGAGGCGAATGGGGTCGAATGAAAAGAACGGGAAAGGGTGAGGACAGAAAAGAAAGCAGAACGTGATTATTGTGATTATTGTGTGGGGAAACAAAGAGAAGCATCACTCGTCCACAATCATCTGAGAATAGATAAAAGAGAAAGAATCAACACAGATCTCAAGCTCAGAAAGAGAGGGGGAGGGTGAAGAAAGAGGGAGAATAAAAGAAAGAAGGAAACTGGGAGAGATGCTGTGTCAATAGTTGCCTCGTCAATCTGCTGTTCGTCTGTATTAAATGCTAATTATAAAAAGTTCCAGTTCTAAAATCTGATTGGTTGAGCCACATTTAAAGCTACTGTAAAATACTCAATAGTCACACACATAAGGCCATTAACTGAATGTGGGATTGAAAGGCTAAGCTACTACAAAACAGTGTGCTGCTCATGGAATACTTTTTGACCATGATGTTGCTTGGCAACCATAGCCTCCTGGACGAAACTGTTATTATACTGTGACTATTATCAATAATAAATCAAATTATTTAATGAACGTTGGTGTATTTTATCAGATTGCAATAAGCTACTCAAGGATGTGCATTACAGTGATTTCATTTGGCTTTAACCGTGGTAAAATTGGTTATGCATGGCTTATTGTAGCCTATTGCTTTGTTATATCGCCTTCCTCCTGCCTTTATTTTTATCAGTTCTTTACGAAACTGGGTACATTTGTATGTGTGTGTGTGTGTCTTGCGATCCTTGTGAGGACCACATGTCCTCACAATGATAGGACATGACATTTTTACTCAAGTGAGGACATTCAGTAAAATTACTTTTTTTTTGGGGGGGGGTCGCCTTTTTGATACTGATGTTAAGATTAGGCTTAGGTTTAGTTGTAGTTTTACTTGGCTACACAAAACACAAAACGAAAATGTAAAATGAAAATTTTTGAATTAAACTATTTTAAATGCCCACACTCAGTGGCAAAACTATCTTTCCTGTACTGCACTAAACATTACTGTAATTGCTAAATAATATTATAAAGTTACAGAAAACTGTTAAAATCAGTTAATAAGTTGTCTTTGCTTCTTTATAGTTTGATAAATCAGTCAGATTAAACAGCTGCACAGCACTCACCATAGTGGTTAATGTGATGTGAGTGTAAAGTGGACATGGGCTGCATGATATCACTGTAGTGATCATTTTTTTATCATCATAATGCATAATATGCTTTTCTAAGTACTTAAAGAACATTGACCAATGACATGTTTCATTAAGAGAGAGTATAGTCATTCTTGTTTAATTGTATTCAGTGCAGTATGTGAAATGTTAGAGGAAAAAAATCATTGTGCCTAGAGTTTTTGATGATGCCTTTATATGTGGCACGACTGGTGTGTTGTGTCTGTGTGTCCAAATATCATGAAAATATCGTATCGCAGCATGATATCTTAACCATATCACCCACCTGTAGTGTATAGATAAATATTAATGTGTTCGTACACATGCCATTGTTTGTATTGTTTCATTAAAGTTTGCTGAAAGACCTCATGTAAAAGAGGACACGTCCTCCTCTGCATCTAACGCTGCTCGGACTAGCTCCTGTTTGCTTTGGGGCAATGTCTCATTAAAACCTTCTCATTATTAGACAAGTAACCTACTGCTTTAATGACTAAGGACTAAATGGTTTCCCTGGTTTGATTAATGCAAACGTGGTTTCCAGCATCTATTTTTGTTCATTTTAAATTGGCCTGAGTATTTTATCAGTTCTCAAACATGTATGTCTGCGCTGAACATCATGTAAAGCCAGTTTATTTTTGTTTCAGATGTACCGTCCTGAGTGTTCACACATCTTCCTTTGTACTGCTGAACTTTTTAGTTTGCAGTACCAAGTGTTATGGAGGCTACCAGGCAGCCTTTAGTGAAGGTGTGAAGGACGTAGCAACAATGAATAAGACAGGCGATACTTTCTTAAAATTTGGCAAATGGTCAATTACTGACAAAAGTAAGTCTGAACTGAATGACAGTTAGTGTGTTGATTTAATATATTTCACTCACATAGAAGTGATGCAAACACTTGAACCATGTCAATGCATTTTTTCAGTGTGTATGCTTTGCATACGTGTCGGGTGTCTGTATGTCACCTGGTACACCGCTTGTTCACACTGCTTGTCTTTCTGGGCCTTTTTCTCGATCTCTTCCCTCTGCTTGATCTCATAGATCAGCTGGAAAAGGTCACGGAGGTCAAGGATCACTGGCTCAGCCTGAGGAGCAAGAGATGAGGAGAGAGAGAGAGAGAGAGAGAGAGAGAGAGAGAGAGAAAGACAGAAAGATATTGATTTAGTTTCTTACTCAACTCAATATCTTCTGTTACAGGGAACACTGTGTTTCGTCGTCTTCATCACTCTCCAGAGATTTCATAAATATGTAATGGAAAGCAAAGACCCTCGAACCTGCTCTCCGTCCTCTCTAAACGCTCTCTGATGAGAGGTGGCAGAACAAAGTGCTTTCCATGTTAAAAAGCTGCATCTGATCAAACTCACACTTTGTAGTTCACTTCAAAGCCCCACGTTATCATTAAAAATGCATCCCCTGCCCGCCGCAGTCTAAATGTCACTAATAACCCACTAAATGCCCAAATGTACAGTGAACACTCGGCTCTTGCCTTTGGGTATATTTCTGCTGCTTTCGCCAGCAACCATACATCACAGGGAAAAGCGGAATTAACAGCAGGAGAAAGAGAGAGATGGGGAAGGAGAGAGAGAGAGAGACAGACAGAGTAAGAGATAAAGAGCAATGAGAATGAAAAACAGAGAGAGAGATAGAGAGAGACTGAGACAGAGAAACAGAGAGAGAAAGCAAGAGAGATAGAGAAATTGAGAGAGGGGAGGAAAGAAAGGAAAAAAGAGAGAAGCGCAGAAAGAGAATATTGGCACAAAACTTTAAAAAAAAGAAGTGAGAGAATTGGAAAAAAAGAAAGACTGGGAATGGGTTAGAGAAGAAGCAGCCAAGGGGGTGAAATGAAATGAATGCCTGGGAATGCGGCGTGCAGCCGCAGAGAAAAAAGGAGTGCGGCTCTGTTTATATCCATCTGTGTCACACAGCACAGGGTCACCTGCAGTTCAGAGCGAGGGGCAATGGATGGAGAGGGAGAGAAACCGACATGTACTCATCGACTGTGTATGGGAAATCAATACCAGCATCCAGCACAGAGTCGCACCACTGCAGAGCAGCAGCAGCGCAGAGAGAGAGAGATGGAGAGCGAGAGAAGAGAGAGACATGGAGAGTGAGCTAGGGAGAGAGAGGAGGGTGTGTTAAACCACAGAGAAAGATGTATGGTGTATTTTCACTACACTTGTTCTGCTGTGCTTGGATTCCTGGTGAAAGCTTCCAAATGCCATAGGAGGCTGCAGTATCGACTGGAAAGAACAGGTGAGCCAACTAGGCACGCATGCACACTACAGCCCCGAAGTCTGGAAGCAGCACTAACTGTGTAAAAGCATATATGAAATTTTTTTTCCAAACATACAACAAACGATTCTGACTACAGCTGTTTTCAGCAGGCCTGGACCATCCAGTGGGTTTTGGGGTGTGTGCCCATGGGCCTGAGCCACTGGGAGCTCCTGCAAGCAAAATATCAACTGCTGTTTTGACTCGTGGTGGGAACCTCATTAGAAGAACAGTGAAAAAATGAACTAATGTGTAATTGTGGTACTGCTGATCAAAATCTTCAAGTACAGGGTGATTCAAAAACATTCATCTGTTTTCAAAGCGCCATATTTTTACAACCGTGAGGTGCCTAGGAACCAATCACACACCAATTAAAAGAGGGGGTCATAGTGTTTCTGACTGTCAGTGGAAGATGGCTCTCTTCAGTCTGCGAGGAGATGCTGACTCCTAAGCAGAAAGCGTTTTGCGTTCTCCACTTCAAAAAGAGTGAATCTATCGTAACTGTGCAACGTGATTTTTGCAGTGAACCTCCAACAGCTCAGAGTGTTCGCCGTTGGTTCCACAACACTGGATGATCTCCGAAATCACATTAAAAGAGCTGTGAGTACAGCGACACCCGACATGCTCAATGAAGTATGGGATGAATTTGACTGTGTTGATGTTGTCCCTACAGCTGGATATAAAACTTCATAATAAACTTTATGCTCACTCAAACATTGTACAATTTACTGCATTGTTCTGTAAAGATTTACAAGTAAAATAAATCATTTGGAAATTGGATGAATCTTTTTGAATCACCCTGTATTTTCTGAACGTCCACTTTATTTTCTCCTCCTGTCACTACTTAGTAACCATTTCACCATCCATCACTACCTACCTTCAGGTTTTTAATAGTGAGCCAGTGTTCCTGTGAAACTACTTTGAATTTGAAGCTCTGGATATTCAAAAGACGTGCTGGGGGATCTTTAAATATGAGAGCTGGTACTTTGGCAGGGTACACTTTAAAAAGTGGCTCGTCAGATCTACCTAAAAAAAATACTTCATGTGGTAACAAGTACATTAACTAGTTTTATTCAACTTAAATACTTTGAATGAATGATTCTTTCAAATGAAAGTAATGTTTAAGTTAAAAAAGAATAAAACCAGTTCAATTGTTTGTTACCACATGAAGTAATTTTTTTTAGGTACATCTGATGAACCATTTTAACAGTGTATCCCGCCAAAGCCAAAGCACTTTCTTTGTCAGCAATTATCCCTGAACTGTCATCGTAGGTAAAACATGCATAAAAAACAAAGCATTTTTGATGTTAACCTGTGCTCTCATTAATGTAATCTCGCTGTTGTTGTGCCTCAATTGAAGAAAAAAAAAAAATGCAGTGATGTGCCGAACATCGTGGTCAGTGTACCGCCATTTTGATGCTGAATAGGCCTTGTGTAACCTGCTGTGATATAAAAATTGACTGACCACCCAAAAAAAAGGTAGTCAGGTAGTGGCCCAACAAATATTTGTGCCCAGGGGCCGATAACTTGATCCGGGATCCAAGGGTGGGCACCAGGAGAGCTTGGTTTGACCAAGTGAGAAAAAATGTTTTTATGCATGGGAGCGATCCCTGATCCTCCTGCAGGTCAAGTAACACAGTAGTTTGCAAACATTTGGGTGCTGATTTGACTCTATTGCCATCCCTTTTTTGCCAAAAACAGTAAAGAGCTAAACCTATTATTGTTAAAAAAAACTGTGCAAAAAGGTCACATATGGAACTCTGCAATTATTCCATGGCTTGGAAGAAGTTCTTTCGTGTGAAAACAAACCTGGGATTCTGAACGAGTTTGATGTGAAATGCTCCGTTCTAGAGAAACTTACCAACTCAGAATGGTTCACAGTGGTGGTCTCAGGAACCACACGTCTGTAGTGCTTAATGTCTCTTGAAGCTACGGCATGAAACGGTTACGAGTACACTGTCTGATGTCTCAAACATTGTTTTACAACAGTTCTGAGATGAGCTTTTGGCCAAAGAAAACTTTGCTTTTCAAATTTGCCACTTTTTATTATCAACATTACATATAAAACCTCAGAAGACACTAAAGTTCACTGGTCATTTTGGACAGTAAATAAAATGACAATATTTGCATTTTAGACAGGCATGTCTTCTTCCCAAAGAGTTTCTCTAGAATAATCTGATTTTTTTTTGCAAATTTCCTTTAAGAACATGTAAATTGTTTTTAATAACTGCCAATGTTATGAACATCAATAAAGACTCTGAAGGCTTTTCCTATTTAAAACATTAAGGATATTTTGGAAAGCTTTATTTGGTAAACGTACAGATATAAACAGTTCTGCAATCCATAAGAAATACTCACAGATTGAGCCGTCTTGATGGCCACAAACCGGTGGTTGCCCTCTTTCCCACACACATAGCCAAAGGCCCGGTGGTCCGTGATGTCCTTGGCAATGTAGGAAATCTCATGAACTGCATGGTGGTGCTGAAGAACCTGCAAAATTAACCCAGAGGTAAACCCAGTTACACTCACTGCATAGCGCCGATAAGTCAAGACAGGAGAGATGACATGCAGAAGCACTAGAGTAAAATATACTGTCTGGCAAAAGTTTGGGGACACCTTACTTTTGAAATTTTTAGTGTTATTTTTCAATTAACTAAGATAAAATATTTGCAATGGTGCAGCATAACCTGCTAACATTTTGGGTCTCACTCAGTTTCATGTTCATCAAAGGGTCTTCTTTGGTATGATAAGGTTTTGCCTAAATAATTATTTGACGCTTTTCTCCATACCCCCCCCAAAGTATTGTTAAAAAAAACCCATATTAAACAATCTTTTGGCTCAAACACCTGAAAGATTTAAATGCTGTTGAGTGCTGACATCACAACAAGGGAATAAAATGTAAGGGGTATGGCAGTTTTAAAGTTTTTGCACAGAAAACTAGTGATGTAAAGGCAAGTCTGAGTCAAAACCATGACTTCATAGAGTGACAGTTCAGAAGTGGCAAGACATTCACTGTACATGCATTATCATTCATTACACACCATAAATACTAATAAATTATACTGTATTATAAAGATAATAAGCAATATATAGCCTAAAATATCTTATAGTCTTAGTCCAAGATGATGGTGAGGTTACTGTCTTTCTTTTCTTCTCTAAAACTTATTCAGAATCACCACCTAAACTCAACTGAATATAAACCAAACAACATACATCCATTTTTATTAGTAAATAAAAAGATATTAGTAGTAGAAGATAGTAGTAGTAACATTCCAATGTCTTTGAATTTTGGAAGCAAATAACATCAACAAAATGATACCCAGTTAAAGCCTGGGTGGAAAGAATCAATTATATACCCAACTGGCAGTAAACAGATTTTATTTAAACATGTTGAGAAAGTATTGTTTTGTTTTATTCTGTTTGAAGGTTTTGCCGATATTCAAAATTGATAGAAACAACGTTTAGTTTCCAGTTACCTCAGATCGAGATCTGTTCTTGAGAACAGTTTCCAAGTCCACCTTACCACAAAACTGAGACGAGAAAGAGTCTGACTGAAGTAGAGACTGAGACGAGACGGAGACCATTCATTTACAGAAGCGAGCCTGGTCTTCACATCACACTCGAGTACTGCAACACTACTGCAAATGGACAAAGGAAACATGCCCATTTATTAAATCTATTTTGAAAAGTGAGGTGTCCCCAAATTTTTGACAGCTGCAAGAAACAGACGTCTCTGCTTGAATGCTGGAGGCACATGCCACTGTGCCAAATTCCCAAGAGCTCTTTAGTAGAAGAAGCCATCAAACCCAGCAGGAGTTGACTGTCTGAATCTAGGGGGCGTCAGACGGTCTCAGAAGAGGAGCTCTCTAGAGGAGGCGCAAAGGACTGGAGCGGGTCAAGAGCTCTGCTCCTGTGCCGCAAAGGGAGTCATGCGGCAATCACCCGCCCAAATCATCCTCCGCAAGTGGCAATCATCTCCTCTTCACCCACTCCATGCCTGCTCATTATAACATCAGCAGCACAATGCGTGCTCCCAGGGTTGGAGAAAGAGACGTACGCCCCAAGGGCTTGACAGTTCACTCCAGACTTTTACAGGCCGTGTCATCTCACAGGGGATTCATTCGACTGTATAAGGTGCTATTTTCTGCTCTTAAATTCACGTCACCCTATGTGACATGTTAAACAAACCTAGGCTGCTTTCAAGAGCAAAGTTCTTTGTTGTAAAAACTTTAAAATGAGGTTACTGCAAGTCGCAGCCCTGCCACGATATCGGGAATCCATGTAATAAACCACCAAGTTCACTGCGTTTTTGTAACAGTAACGTGGGATCAGATACTAATGGCTAATGCGGTAATAACATCCAGTTTGATTAAATTATTTCCTCTTCTGCTTCTGGGCACACGGATTCAGAGCTAAATAAAACATGGACAATTTCTGACATTTTTTTTAATATATGGCAACGTACCAAAAAAAATGGCTTGTCTTCGAGGAATAAATGTAATACAAAGCAAAAAAGCCCCTCCTCCACCCATAAGCTTTAATCTTTCGAGTGCCTTCTGAGCCTTAGATGTGAAATCCCCCCCCACACAAAATAACTGTGCCTCCATTCCTTCTGGGTGGTTTAAAATTGGAAGCAGAGAAAATCCTTGAAAGATTAATTACTTGTGAAGCCATTCGACAGTAGCCTTCCTCTACCAATTTCACAGAATGGAATGTTTGCCCCGAGCTTGCGAAAGGAGGGCTGTGGTACCACTACACACTGCATAGGGCGAGCTTTCCATCATAATGACCCATAATCTGAGGGTCTTCTGCAGAAACACACAGACAGAGTGAAGAAACACTGTTCTCATCAGTGCCATAACACTTCATGATGAGTGTCCCATGTTCTGCCTATGATTCTGTCTAAATAAAGGCACCTCCTGTCCATCTACTTTACTAACACTGTCACTTTTCCATTGCTTATGCTGTCGCTCTCCTGACAGCTCAGTCACATCTCTGATACTTTCATCAAATCTGATTTGAGACTTCAGGTGTTGTCTTGTTGCCCAGGAAATGACACTGCAATCACAGCGATCATGTTACCAGTTCCACAGTTTCAGCCCGCAAAGCCTTATCGGGAAATGCTGGAAGAAAGAATGAATGAACCACCGATTCTGCAACAAATGTAGCCTGAAATATTACAGAATTGTTTGTGGTGCAAAAATAACGTAAAGCAAAGCAGCGCACATGACAACAGTAGCCACATGTAGCTTAATACTGACATGAAAAATAAGCAGATAGTAGGAATGTAACAAGACAGTGAGACTTGTGAGTGTGAGTACACTGAGTAGAACTGTATTGCAGCAAATCATATTATTGAGTGAGTTTACATGCACTCAATTCGATCATGATCGGATTTCTGCAGTTATCTGATTATTCAAACAGTTTTGTAAACAGCATACTCTGATTTCTTATACCAGAGTAAGGTCTAGAAATCTGATTAAGAAATCCAATAAAGAGGCTGGATTTTAGCTCAGTAATCAGATTTCAGAGTGCATGTGAACTCTTACTCTGATTTCTTTCAGATTTCTCAGTCTGCGCATGCGTGAAAACAAACCACGGTACCGGAAATAAGCAAGCAGTGTTGCCATGAGATGCAGAAAAACACTTTTTGAGAGACACTGAAACTAAACACATTCTCAACGAAATGAAGGATTTGAATATTCTTCATCTTCTAGATGAAGTATGTTCATATTTTCAGATAAAGTGGCACAATGTTTAAAAAAAATTTAAAAAGCAGCGGCATGAAGTTTGAGTCTTACGTTGCGTCTTCTTCTGTGAGTTTATTGGCTGGTTGCAAAGCAGAAATCCGATCACTGTCTGATTCATGCAGACCCAGAGTTTTCACATTATCTTATTACTCAAGTGCATATAAACACGTTGATCGGCTTACTCACAAAATCCAATTTTCTGCAGTTATCGGATTATTAAGTGCATGTAAACACACTCATTGTATCGTGACTAGCATGCTAGCTTGGGGCTAGTGTGTTAACCTATGGCTAACATATTAACTTAATTTGTTAGAGCAGGAGTCTCAAACTTCTTGGGGGCCACTAGCTAGCTGGTCTTCTCCCAGGGAGGCTAGTAGCAGCTACTACTGTTTATTTGCAACTACTTATTTAGCAGTAGAATTCTGTGGAACACATTGCTGAATGCGAGTGTAGTTAATGAGAGGAAATGCTGGAAAACCAGTCAGATCTGTGTTCTTGGTGGATTTGTTTGAAAATTCCATTAATGCATAAATTCTAACGTGTGTCTACTGCTACGTCAAGTAAATCCATGAAGGCAGATTTAATGATCAGTCTACATTAGAATAATATCTAAGTTAGTTAAAGCTAAATTACAGCCAAGTCCGGTCAGTGTACTGCATTTATGCTGCGTCAGGTTTTCATGTGAATGATTTCTCTTATGTGCAGCATCCTATTTATGTTTTTAACAGCCTGAGCTAATTTTATATAGCTTATGTTGCAGCATCCAGCCACTAAATCTACCCGTCAAATGTAAATATTCAGCTGCAAAAACGGGAAAAAAAAGAAAATGATTTGCAGGCCGGATTTAAGGACAAACTGTAAACATGGGATGGGCCATATGAAGCGGTCACATCTTGCCTGCGGGCTGGCGCTTTGTGACCCCTGGGATAGAGCATTAGATCTGGACACTACTAGCCTACAGCAGTTTAGCATACCCACTCATACTGAAGTTCCAGGTTTTAACTCAAGCACTTTTTGAGCGAGGCACAAAACAAGGCAGTCAATCAGAGGTAATTCATCTAATACCGGTCTTAAAGGCATAGCAACAAAAACAGTAAACTCCATCAGTATCAGCAGACGCTATTTTTTTCAATATCTGTGTCAGATATTGTACTACTTATTAGTGGCATCTGCAAGAAACTGAATAATCTTTGGCTGCTTCATTTGTGCCTAGAACCTTAACCTCAAGCCGAATCCTACAAATAACATAACCCGGCACAATAAGATTTAATTGCAGTTTAACAGCCACCAAATGCTCATAAGAAAAAGAGAGTCAAAAAAGGGACTTATAAATCAGCACGTATTAGCACGCAATATAACTTCATAATAGCAATGCGCAAACAAAGCTTATTAGGAGGTGCCGGCAACGGGGGACGTGTTAAACATTAGTGATGATTGTGTTTTAGCTTATCTCTCGGCGTTGGTGTGTTATTTAGGTGGAGAGAGAAGGAGAGGCGGTGGATGGGGAACGCTGCTGTTCCAGAGATAATGAGAGACTACAGTCCAGCGCTAAGCCTCTCAAAACCACACATTCACAGCTAATTAACCCAATGCTACACACACATTCACACTCGCAGTCAATACACACGCGCTAATTCACTAAAGCTTTATTGGGTCCTTTTGTAGCCACAGGCCAATAGTTTGCGATAAACTGCGCAGTTTACCACTCATTTGAAAGCGTTTAGGCCGGAAGAATATATA